TTGATCAATACTTGCTCGACCAGAACATAAACTAGCCTGCTCCTCGCGAGACGATCGTTCTCCGGTTTTGGACAATTTGCGAAGTATGACGGAAGCCGATGGTTTGGACGCAATCGGTAGTAGATTTATCCCCCAATAGTTGCCACATAAATGACGTAAACCATTTTATAAGATAGGGACAACTATCAACTCCTTTCGTGATGTTGGGACGTTCTCCGATTGTTAAGTCATTGTAAATTACTCAGTCAGGCTTATAGTCACTTGATCACTACCACATCTAAGCAGGCCCTGGGGTAAGTCACCTAAGACTGGTGATTTGTAGCGCTTCAAGCATTGGGACTCCTCTCGAACTTCCGTCTCATTAGGTGGATCAGTCATCACCGGCCATGGAAGACAGGACATTCTGATCGCTCTCGATGGTGAAGAAGACCGGTGTCCCACCAGCGTTACATATTGCCTGAGCTACACCAGACCTATTTCTGGCAGTAAGCTTGGGCGAGTTCAAAGATTTCCTGTAGTGCTATTCAGCGTTTCTACCCATCGACCCTGTCATTTCGCGGTCCCAAAACAGGAAGTCAACACCAACCAACATGATTTAATCCACTTGCCAGTGGCCTCATGGATTTGTGCCAAGATTTGGTTTGCCACCCCTAGCTTTCTCCCAACCTACTCCTACATCACAAAACATCGCTCGTCGTAGTGGTCGGTGGTTGAGCATAGGTAACGCATGCCCCAACCACCTCAAGTGATGCAGTTTCAATACTTCATCTATCGATCTGCCATCCCTGCCCAGTACTCGTTTCCTAACTATGTCAGTGCTTACTCGGGTTTTCCAGGATATACGAGCAATGCTTCGAAGACACTTATGATCGAAAACCAGTAACCTACGAATGTCCTCTACTCTCAACGGCCATGTTTCGCATCCATAAAGTAGGACAGAGCGAACCGATGCGCAGTACACTCGTCCTTTAGTCAGCAAACGGATATCTCACCTACGCCATTAGTGACGCCAGTTGGTTAATGCCTATTGGGCCTTCTGTATACGTGCTGAGATTTCGTCAGTCACCACGGGACTAGCGCTGATGGGACTCACAACATAAGTGCGGCGGTCGAGACGTTCAACTACTTCAATCCCTATCATTAGTTCGGGCACTGACGCAACCCAATATTGAAGCAACAATGTGCATTTCGACGGGGAGAATCGCATCCCGAATATGTCTGCGTTATTGCCTAGGGTGGTCAGAATACTCTGCATTTTGTCAGCGTCTTCACCAAATAGGACTATGTCATCGGATGTTCTAAGTCAACCAGTGAATCTCCTGGTTTGCTTGTAAAACGGAGCCAGTAGAGAAAATGCATTCAGACAAGATGTGCAAAAAATAGAGCGTAGACTAGAACACATGGTTTAAAATCCACCATTACACGTGAGAGAGCCTAACATCACAAGAGGAGAGAGAGTGATGTATCTGACCAGCATTCATGACGGTGAGGCGATAATCTCGATCTACCTGCGTCTGTGCGGCAAAACATTTTGTTTGCTTACGACTCCTTAAAATATAGTAGGATGAAGCTAATCAGTCATATTGATGTTTCTTTTCATTGTTAACCTCGTCTACAACTCATGTTCTTAACCCTGCACTGGTTTTACCTTAGTACCAAGAAATCCTATTACAAACATATCTGCACAATTAAACTGAAAAAGAGCTCACTCATGACCTCTTGAGCTACAGCGTTAAAATGAAAAAGGATAAGTAGAATATCACAAAAGCATCAGATCACTGTGCTACATCATTGTATTTTGTAAATCGACATTGTTACTAACAACTTAGTGCCTCTGAATTTCCCATATTCATACGATTAATTGCCCATTCGTTATCTTACTAGTGAATTGTCTTCATTACCCTACATAACTGCGGGTTCACAGTTAGTGTTCTAACTTAAAAAAATATCTGCTGAGTCATTGTTCGGCTTTAAACAGAGATGTTTTCTGTTCTGCTCTTCGTCCCGTTCCCTTTATTTCTCTTTTTCAGCACCTTATTCCAATACTTAAATATCTGTCTAGATATTTGCCGAAGACTTGGTTACTTTTCTTGGGAGCCTGTATATTTATCATCTGAAGAATATCAACCAGATCTTAGCACATTTACTTCATCAATTCTTATTATTTGCAGACCTAGCTCTACCTTGCATTGTTTCGCAGTCATTAGCAGTTCGACATAACGGAACCGCCGTAACTCACGACAATTACTCGCACTGTACTTTGCAGAGTCTGAAAAATTATCGATAATTTTATATGGAAAATTTTAGCCATCTATGAGAAGCCAATGTATCTTGTGAAATATTTCAGTAACAGAAACAGAAATATGTTAGCAATCTTGAATTTTTGATGTCGCCTGTAAATTGGCATGCCTCTTGTAACATGTCGTTATTTGAGAATAAATTATTAGTATTATTTTTACAATTGAAGTACATCCACAACTCAAATCAGCTGTCAGTCAGCCAATAACAATTTCAGGATGTTGAATACGAATGTCCAAACGGTTCTATTGAATTAAGCAGAAACTTGAAGAACTAAAAAGGCTATCATCCACATGACATGTCTACTCAAGATACTGCGAATCCATTACCCGAATACCATCAGTAACAAGCTATTGTGATGGAGAACAAACCAGCTTTCAGTTGAGGAGTAACTTCGGAAAAAGAACTGTATTAGGTAGGTTGTTCAAAAGATTAGTTGTAATTATATAAAGTTAGTTTAAAACAGGAACGGTTTTCAGACGTTAACATGGAGAATCTGAAGAAACTATTTAACTTATAAGTTATTCAAAAGAAAACAGGATATTATTTGTATAAACCATTTTTAAATTCGCGATATTGAATTGGCGAATCAGTCCACTTTCAGATCGGTAGTATTTGATGATGATTCTAATTAATTTAAAGTTTTCGGTAAATGTGTCTTCGATAAAAGTCAGCTCCTCAATTCGTCTGGGTCTTATAAAATAGATATGTGATTCACTAGCTTTATATATATATATATATATATATGTTTTATAGAAATTTCACTACATTAGCGGAGAATTTGTAAAAAACTACTATGGTCATTACCTAGACGATATTTTTAAGATAGGTTCTGTTCTCGCTACCACAAACTGATTGAAAACATTCAGACCTATTCTGCTACTTCAAAAATTACCACGCTTCTTGACAAAAAGTGACGGTGAATCAGCGGTTATTTGAACTTACTAAACACAGAGACCGATTTTTCTTAGCAGCACGGCTTCATTGACTTAGCGATCTTTAGTAAATGGATTCTGTAGTTTATAAATCGATTACGAGTGTGTATAAACTCTAACAATGATCGATGTCACTGTTCACTCCCAAAAGGTCACAATTATGTGTTGCTCCGCACTTACGCATATTTAGAAGTGATGATTAAAGAGCGTTTACTCATACATAATCTGAGCACCTTTTAGTTTTCATGCCATATGAAACGACAGAAGATTATTTTTTAAGAAAATTTCACATTCCTTTGGGAACGAGAAGTAAGAATATTCTGTATATTAGGTTTCTAACAGTCATAATCATCAAACTAACTTCCAAGTTTTGATATGATTATTGTCAGAAAATCATATCTGACAAATGAAATGTAAAACTCAGAGAAGACGCAATTTTTCGTGAGAAATAGTTGGCGTATGTAAATTACAGGCTTAAGACTGAAATTTCAAAAGACGGATAGATTTTGAGGTGTAAACATCCATTTGTATTCAAAAGCGCTTCATACAAACTATGAACTAGACAGGAAACTTATCGAGAGGGAAACAAAATCATTAATTCCTGATAAACAATGAAAAGCTTGTAGTGATATACTGGTACGAAGAAAACACAATTGCTGAAATATAAAAATCTATTGTTGTACTTAATTCTGACAATAATTGTTATATTGTAATCCTTTTGTTTATCTGTGGTAAAGACTATCTTTCGTGCTCCAATCTTGTTATTCCCATTCCCACAATGCTTTTCTCCTTGCTCGTTGTTAGCCGCTCGTGTACCTTAGTCTCATGATTATTTCGATATCACGGTGCTAGCGATAAATATACTTCATCAGTCAGAATTGTCTTTTCTTTGACTTTTGGATTATTGGGATTTATATTAGTAATCCCGCGAAGTTGTAAATTATTTGGTACTACTATAGGGTTTTGGTAGGCGCAATGATAATGCAGTGGCACTATTAGAGCAACGTCACTCTCTGTTGATAGTCGCACTGTAAGTAACTTAAGCCTGTGAACGATGGTGACAGTTTTCTGTTAATAAGTGCCGAATTATGGTTGCAGCTAAATTCGACAAGATAAGTGAAATTACAGAAGTAGAACAGTGGGTTTATGAGTTGCTGACAATGAAATCAGGCGCTGTTCCATAGGTAAGAGCGGAAGATAATATTATTCCCGAGATTCTAAAAGCCGCTTGCCTAAAAGGAAACATCTCTGTCCACTCTCACATCGACGGAAGGAGCCACAAAGTCCTTGTGATTAAGATACCATTCCCAGTAGTTAATGACTAATATGGAGCTTACTGATCACTTTTTATTTTCCAAGCAACCAAATTCCTTGCTGCTAATGTGATAGCGTCTGGTCCAAGACAAACACGCTCATCTAAACAACAAGATGCACAAACCCACTAGCGCCTGCTGAAATGAATGATGTAACTCAGTGTTATATGAGAATAAACATTTCCATAATGATCACAACATTCCAGTAGCTTTGCTACAGGATACTATGAAGCAGCTCAATCCATTAAGAAGTACTAAGAAGCGAGATTAAAGGAATTAGTTCATTTTTACAAGATCATAAAAAGCTATTGAGAATATAAAATACGCAAAACATGACGATCTATCAGTTTGCATAATCACTTTCTGAAACCAGTGCATCCGTTGCTACTCATGCTTTTCTACTAAAAGGTAAAAATAAGAGTATTGGCAATTGTATCTAACACTTCATATATGGCGAATCCTGGTGTCAATTCAGTCGCTGCGCTACTTTGTTATTGCAATGAATGACTCTCGTGTGCAGGTTGGGGTTAAGAAACTCCCAATGCACCTTCAGGTAACATACAATCGCGTATAAGATCTTTGAAAAGAGTTCTCAAAATCGTTTACTTATTAAAGGAGGGAAGGTAATCAATGATGATCGAATGTTTAATGCTGATATCTATATTGAAGATGGGGTTATTAGGTACGTTGAAATGTGTCTAAATTTTGTGTAGACAAGTAGGTAGCCAGCTTTCAATTCCAGGCGGTGTTAGAATCATTGAGGCCTCCGGAAAAATGGTCATTCCAGGTTTTTCGAAGTCATTAATTAGAAATTAATATTTTTTTTCAGGTGGCGTTGATCCGCATACATGTTTTGAATCTTCTTCTCTGGGTTTAACTACGTCAGAAGATTTCTATTCTGGCACAAGAGCCGCCCTTGCTGGTGGCACTACCACCATAAGTTTGTTTGTTTCAAATGGTTTATGTTTCAGTCAACTGTATTGTACCTACGAAATCTTCACTTTTGGATATGTATGAGAATTGCCGTCAAACTGCGGATTCAAAGGCTTGTTGTGACTACGCTGTGCATTTTATTTTACCCCAGTACGATTCCAAAATATCTAAAGAAATGGAACTACTGGTGAAAGAAAAAGGAGTGAATTCATTCAGGGTTTTTTTGTCAAGTACAAACGATATGTTAGTAGATGACGGTGACCTCTTTGAAATCGCTAAGCGGTGTAAAGATCTTGGTGCGATTCTTCAGGTTCATGCAGAAAATGGAAAGTTGGTTAAGATACTAGAATCGAAAATATTCGATGACGGTATCACGGGCCCAGAGGGTTACTTGTATTCACACCCTGAAATGGTGAGTTGTCTTCAAGTAGTTTTAGAAGCATTGGGAAGAAACTTTATTTGGTGACTAAAGCTGATGGTGTTGTAAGTGGTGTGTCGTAATTTGTCAATTCTAACATTGATCTGTGTTTACTTAGTCGTGTAGCAGTTCTAGAAATATCATGTTTTGGAAATTAGAGTTAAGGTACTAAGTTTTATTTCATATTTCTAGAAGTAGTGAATGATTCCTTCATGAAAAATTTCCACATATTTAAATGCAGTGTAATTTATTACATTATATCCATCCAGTATTTCCGCATATGTTAAACAAACGTGTGTATACTTTTCTAGTTCATAACTAGTGATAGCCATCGACCCTTGGAATAGAGTTTGCTCGCTTCTAAATGCGACGAATAATGTAGTCAAATTAAATTAAAGCTAATATCTTGGTGGTTGTTAAATTTTTAATACAATACCGATTGAAGCGCGAAAGTACCTATAATTAATGTTACTTAAATATTACTAGTTGTATTGTGCTCGCAAATTCTTGATTTTATGATTTGTCCTATGGTTTAAGACCCTTGTGATTGACAAATAGTATTCTTGTATCCCAAGACAATCGGGTCAATCAATTTATTGATTAATGAACCCTTCTATGAAATAGAATCTTTTAGCCATTGCTTTTCTACTTCTTTTGAACAATAGTGTATTTAAGCAATTAGGTTTTGATTGCATGTTACATTTAAATTGTTTTAACTCTCAAATTATTATTTTCATATCAAGAATAAGAATTCACCATCAGCAATCGAAATTTTATGAACGTTTGTATCTTCTATACACGCATCAAATATCTAGACTAGTTTTGTTTTCGTTCGAAAAGGTATTGAAATGTATTTGAGACAAAATAATCACCGTAGCAAACTTGTAGGGTCGCATAGTAACAGAAGATCAAAAATATATGGCAAGTGGTTATTAGCAAAACAAAATCGATTTCGAATAGAATACATGAGGAGCAGGTGTACGATACGAAAATGTAATACAAATGCTGCAAAATATTTAATATCGTTTAGACATGACAGTTAAGACGGAATTCGATAATCGTATAGACATTACGGTAAGGCTCATCGATAAATCGAGTGGCTGCAGATAGGTGAAGAAATTGCGGTCGAGATTATCGTGGAAAAAGTTTGGAGAATAAAGCTGCGTACAGATGCGATGCATGGACATTAAATGCATATCGAGAACATAAGTTACTACCATTGAGTATATGACTCCAAACTTATGTCTATGATAGCGTTTCAAACCGTTGCCAGCGTTGGGGTAGTCGAAAACATGCGAATATCAGCGTGCAAGAGGTTCGCTCGACTGCTTGAACTGCTGCTTCGTGTGCATGTGCGTAAGACCATACCACCAATTTACTTAGTAGGCTGCAAGATTTTCGAGTACGAGCAGCTGATGAGTACATAGAGGATATCTCCAATGCGATAATCGTATAGCCACGGAAATATTAATGGACGATAATTGTCGTTGAGCCATTGCTTTGATCAGCGATTCGAAACATAATAATGCGATACAGCAAAATAAATGGAACGAACTCACCTTAGTTATGAACATCGTTCGTGGTTAAGGTGAGTTCGTTCCATTTATTTTGCCGTATCGCATTATTATGTTTCGAATCGCTGATCAAAGCAATGGCTCAACGACAATTATCGTCCATTAATATTTCCGTGGCTATACGATTATCGCATTGGAGATATCCTCTATGTACTCATCAGCTGCTCGTACTCGAAAATCTTGCAGCCTACTAAGTAAATTGGTGGTATGATCTTACGCACATGCACACGAAGCAGCAGTTCAAGCAGTCGAGCGAACCTCCTGCACGCTGATATTCGCATGTTTTCGACTACCCCAACGCTGGCAACGGTTTGAAACGCTATCATAGACATAAGTTTGGAGTCATATACTCAATGGTAGTAACTTATGTTCTCGATATGCATTTAATGTCCATGCATCGCATCTGTACGCAGCTTTATTCTCCAAACTTTTTCCACGATAATCTCGACCGCAATTTCTTCACCTATCTGCAGCCACTCGATTTATCGATGAGCCTTACCGTAATGTCTATACGATTATCGAATTCCGTCTTAACTGTCATGTCTAAACGATATTAAATATTTTGCAGCATTTGTATTACATTTTCGTATCGTACACCTGCTCCTCATGTATTCTATTCGAAATCGATTTTGTTTTGCTAATAACCACTTGCCATATATTTTTGATCTTCTGTTACTATACGACCCTAAAAATGGTGATCACGACGTGATCGAAATCCATTTTGTAGTGCGTCGATTTACTGCGTGTTCTTAAGCTCGGTAATTAACTCGTCCAGACAATCGTCACTAAGTAGCGTCTGACGGTTTATAAATCAGAACATGAACTCGTAGTGATGAATACGTTTATTCGGGACACACCAACAAAGCGAAGAGGAGAAGCAGTGAATAAAACTAATGAAGCGACGTGAACTGGAGAAGGCTTTCGAGCCAACTCGCTGGGTTACAATGCGAACGAATGGGCGAGGCGAATTGGAGTTGGCTCTTAGCCTTCTCTAGTTCACGTCGCTTCATTCGTTTTTTTCACTGCTTCTCCGCTTCGCTTTGTTGGTGTGTCCCGAATAAACGTATTCATCACTACGAGTTCACGTTCTGATTTATAAACCGTCGGACGCTACTTAGTGACGATCGTCTGGACGAGTTAATTACCGAGCTTAATAACACACAGTAAATCGACACACTACAAACTAATTTGCTTGATTAACAAGCTCTATTTGTGATTTTCATGAACGAAAATATCTGCTAAATAACATTCCAAAGATGCAAACGTTTATTTCACCTTACTTTGCCGTATTAAAGAAAGACCCGTGTGATTTTTGACGGTTGACTCTCGAGCATTTTTTTCTTGACCCTTGATCAATAAGTACTTGGTTTATTTGCTGTATTTATCAGACATATCAGACCATTTATTTGATGTTGATACCTAAAGACACGTTTTGGATGGTGTATGGATTGTTGTTATAATAGTTTTATTAACTGTTTCTTTCCTGTTTAAGTCACAGACCATCAAATGATATGATCCTTTTTATTTTTACAGGCAGAGGTTGAAGCTACGCACCGAGCGCTTTCTTTAACTAATGCAGCTGGTTGCCCGCTATACATTCTTCAGGTCACTAGCCCAAAAGCAGCAAATCAAATATCAGAAGCTCGTTGGAAGGGAAACGTCGTTGTGGGTGAAACACTAGCCTCTGCACTGGCTGTTGATGGTACTCATTATAAGAATAGTTGCTGGCGTCATGCTGCCGGATATGTTCTGTCTCCTCCGCTAAGACCTAATCCGAATACTCCAGACGAGCTGATGCGTTACGTCTCTACTGGGGTTCTAGAATGCACTGCTAGTGGTCATTGTGTTTTTAAAACCGAGCAAAAAGCTCTGGGAAAAGACGATTTCCGCAAAATCCCTTCTGGAGTTAATGGGGTTGAGGATCGAATGTCAATTGTTTGGGAAAAAGGAGTGGTAAGTTGTCACATCAGGTTTATGAAAACCGTCACTAAACTTATCTTCATTTGTTAGATGTCTGGTTTAATAGACGCCTGCAAGTTTGTCGCTGTGACTAGTACGAATGCTGCTAAAGTCTTTAACCTCTATCCACAAAAGGGAAGGATCGATGTTGGAAGTGATGCTGATTTAGTTATTTGGGACGGTAATGCAACTCGCGTAATATCAGTCAAAAATAACCATGAAAATGTTGACTTCAATATATTTGAAGGGCTTCAATGTCATGGCGTGCCTGTCGTCGTGATCGCTGCTGGTCGGGTTGTTCTAGAAGATGGAGAACTCAGAGTTACTCAGGGCGCGGGTCGTTTCGTACCAGCCTTACCGTTTTCACCTTACATTTTTGAACGAACCAACAGATTGGCACTGGTAAGTTTTCTATTATTTTAATGTAGATTTTAATTGCTATTAATGTTAGATGTCATTATTACCATCTGTAATAAATTTTATCCTATCATGATTCTTTGGTTACGTGTAATCTGTTGAGCGGTGCACAAGTTCTCATATGTTGCACACTTGTGCACAATGGAAAACCCAACCTTGTGTGAGTCTTGTTCCAAAACTTGTACTATACAACTATTGTTAGTGAATATTCCACATCGCTGATTCTTATGCTTAAGTAGTTATTTCCTCATCACTATTTCGAACTAATTAGATTTTATATTCAAGTATAAAATTATGTGTTCATTTCTGTTCATTATGAGAAGTTAATTTATAAACAAATAATTTTCTCTGAAGTCGTCTTTCAAATGTCGGGATCAGGATATTCAAGTTACTAAATTACAATGACTGTTTATTGAGAAGTATAGATTCCATTGGTAAGAAAATCAAACACCCTAGGTAAATTTTTATAATGCAGTACACGAATCAGATTGAAATGTTTTATGGATTTCTGATATATAATACCTTGGTATCATTTTTAAACAATCTACTGCTTTAATTGAAATCGCATTAAGTTGTTGGAAGATAGAACTGAAGATATAAAAGTTGTGGTGCGAAACCGAGTATACATTATCTTTACTTGGTTACTAGGTTGGAAAAAGATTTAAAAAGTTGATCATAATTTTTTACGAACAGTCTGTCTAAAATCACTCATTTGAAGCATCTTTACTGAGTCCATTTAAGCTCTAGACGTTGACTACAACTTATTGCTGTTTCCCATAACTCATCCACTACACCATTGTTGTTTTTAGATGCGTTCAGTCAAACCAATAATTCGTGATCCATATACTGGTCCTGTGTCCACAGAATTTGCTGTGCCGACGAAAGATCCTGTCATCACTAATGGCACAGAGAAAGTGTCGGTGAGCTGTGATGCTGAGGGCTTGCGCCCTCGCTCACCTACTCGTTCAGGTGGTCGAAATATGCAGGAATCTAGTTTTTCTTTGAGTGGTAGGTATCTTTTAGTTAACTTATTGTGACAAACTATTAATAATTTGATCAACACATGCATGTCATTTATTTAGCAAATATTCTACTCTCATTATTACAAAAATCAAAGCTAGTTGTTTCAATTTCTGAAACATGTCGAACTACTTTTGACAAAATGAAGAGTATCTAAAGTGATTTAATTGATATGAGCAAAGTTAAAATTTACAATAAGATCTGCAGAGGAGGGTAAACTACTTGGGAAAGTAGTATTTTCCAGATCCAGATGACAAATTCATGTCTTATTTGCAATCTACTTGGCCTAAAATATTACGCTGTGTTTTAGGAGAACTCAAGATCAAAGTTGAGGAAGCCCGGAGAATAAAGGATTTCGATTTGCTGTTATCGTATTGTTTTCCATTCAGAGTTTGTAAATTTATAACCAGCGATCAGAAAACGAAATAAAAGTTTTTAAGAAATTGAGTCATATGTTAATTTGATGAAATAAGCTGCTAAAGCTCCACATATATTCCCAGATTTAAAAGCTTTAATGTAGTTCCATTAGTATAAATCACGCACTCAGAAAATTTATGCCTGTTTAACGTACAAATCAATAAAATAAAGGTAAAGAGCAGTCAAGCAGTTACGCAAAGGCTTAAATTCTAAAATCTTTAACATCTAATATCGTTGTCACGTATACTGTTGCTTATCTCAGCCTGAACTCCTCAGCGTAAATCCAAATCCTTTACTTTTTGGTCAAATAGTCAAGTCTAATCCTCTGGGTCACAATACTAAAGTATCAATTTTTGTTAATACATTATGAAATGTGCGACAGATCATCTCTGCTAATTAGTCATTATTTAGTATTATGACTAAAACTTTTGGTTTTATATATCTCCTAGTCTTTGTAAATCAAGTACTGAGTATAAGTCACAAACGTCTCACAGATAATACTTGAAAACGTTTCATAATTTAAGTGACGCGAAACTTCTCTATTTTTTTATGTAGAATTAACTATTAATACTATTGTAAAAAATAAATATATGACATATTTGAAATGAGACTTTTCTTCGCAGAACTGTCTTCAATTTACTTGAATGAATCTTGGTTATACACTTAAATAATAAATAATACAATAACAAGACGACGTTTAAACAAAGAAAAGTTTCTTTCCGACGACAATGTCATTTACTACGATAGCCTTTATTAATAGTTTTGTAACTGAAATAAATATAAAAAGTATAAAAACAATTTTAAAATATTTCTACTTTTAGTTTGTTGAAGTTAATGGATAACTAACAAAATAAACATGACGAATTGTTGAGCATTAAAATAAGTTGATTTATATTAACTGTTTAAAAATCCCATCAATTCATAAACGAAGAGTACTTCTATCAATAAATTCTCATCCGGTTCTACAAATATATACATCCAAATAAAATGGCCATGTTTCTCAATAATTTATCGATTTGATTATTTTTTTTTCCTAAATCGATCCGACTTAGTTCTTCAAACGGCAAGAGCAGTAGCGATTCAGATTACAAAGTTGGAGCTATGTGTGCTAGAGAAACACGTTCAACCTTCTCTTACTGTGGCCAACCACAGGCTTAATTAACCGATAGTTACCTTAACTATAGAATGATCCAGTTTGACTGATCATCGACCTTTCTTAGTCAATTGTGATTGTCTTAGTCATCTTTATTCACATATTACTATTATTATTATTACTATTATCGTCTTAACATCACTATTTACTTAACACATAGTCAATTTAGTTAACACTCACTTCACTTTAATATTTCTGGTTGAATTTATATTATCCACTAAACATTCTATCGAATTCGGTAACTGTATTATTACTATTATTTCTCTAACCCTATGTAACTCATATTTATTCTGGTCATCTCAAAATCAACTATTTTATTTTATTTCACAAAAAACCCTAACTTCATCTATGCTACAATTTGAAACATGTATTTTGCCCTAAACCTGGCCATTTCGGTTTTGATTATTAGTTTGGAAATATAATTGCAGAACCTGATGAAAATTTATCGGAAAGAATATTCTTCTACCACATATTAATGATTTATAAATATTTACTTTATTGTAATATCTGCGTTTGAATATTTGGTGTTGATGTTCTGGTTAGTTTGCGCGCACTTTGTGAATAACACATACATTTCGTCTAAATTTTTTTCAGGTGCTCAGTACGACGATAGTCGTCCAATACGTACAGGGATTCGAACAAAACAACCTCCTGGTGGGGCATCGAACGCCTTATGGTAGATGTTCATCGAATAAAGTGGTTTAATGATTTTGGAGCCAAACACTAACTAGCAATACTACATAATCAACATGTATTTTTCAATATATATATATATATATATATATATATATATATATATATTAGTGTAAAATACATCTGGTTGTCTGTTATATGTGCTCACAGCCGAAGTTATATATAGCCTTTTTCAATCAAACAATCTTCCACGTCGTATTTGATGTGTATCGACTTAAAAAACCCGGTCATTGTCTTAGTTATGGTTGTTTATCATTTCAAATATAATATGCTCCGTCAATAAACTATTACATATCAAAAATTTCTTATCGGTTTTTCTGTGTTTTGTAATGATTATTCTAGTATAATCTGACATGCACTGTGTTGTATTCACTGAGGCGTCTGTTTAAAATCTGAATCTCATGTGTCTAGTTACATGAGTACCATATATGCAACCTCATATTTGCACACAAACTACATTACCTGTTTTAAATTTTATTCTAGGTCTATTTATTTATTTCCTTGAAAACAAGTAGGCACCAAAATATGTGTGTGCCATACGATAGAAATTAGGTTGTGAGGATATAGGGAAAGAACGTTGAGTTAAACAAAAATGTGGATAGAGACTGGTGTATGAGGGTGAAATAGTGGTGGGAGTAACAGTTCAGTTAAGAAAAATACAGCCAGAAAGAATCCTTACACTCTAAAAAGTTCCTCTTATTTATGTGAAGAAAATAAAAGGAAGTTTTAGCAGGACCGTCGATGGCTTCTATTTTGTGTCATATCTGATAACGTCCCAACCAAGCAGTCATGAAGATTTGATCAATACTTGCTCGACCAGAACAAAAACTAGTCTGCTCCTCGTGAGACGATCGTTCTCCGGTTTTGGACAATTGGCGAAGTATGACGGAAGCCGATGGTTTGGACGCAATCGGTAGTAGATTTATCCCCCAATATTTGCCACATAAATGACGTAAACCATTTTATAAGATAGGGACAACTATCAACTCCTTTCGTGATGTTGGGACATTCTCCGATTGTTAAGTCATTGTAAATTACTCAGTCAGGCTTATAGTCACTTGGTCACTACCACATCTAAGCAGGCCCTGGGGTAAGTCACCTAAGACTGGTGATTTGTTGCGCTTCAAGCATTGGGACTCCTCTCGAACTTCCGTCTCATTAGGTGGATCAGTCGTCACAGGCCATGGAAGATAGGACCGTCTGATCGTTATCGATAGGGAAGCAGACCGGTGTATGTTATAGATCAGTGTCCCACCAGCGTTACAGATTGCTTGAACTACACCAGATCTATTGCTGGCAGTGGATTCGGTGAGTTGAAAGATCTCCCGGCAGTTACCGGATATAGCTAATGATCCTAGATCACCAAGTTTCCTGGTCCTCACGCAAACTTTGAAATATTTGATTATGCAAGAATCTTAGTTCATCGTAAAACTTGCGGTTACCCAGAGTAGATCGACGAGTCGCACTGAGTTGCGGAGAGCCTCTAGAAACCTGGAGCTTATAAGCAGGACGTTTTGCGAAAGTCAAGAGATTTTTCTGGTCATTTTAATATCGTCGTGCAATCGCAGTCAGTGCTCATTTATATTTCCCTGTTGGTTGATAACTAGGCTTGAACCTTGCTCAGTATAATGTTGATTTGTCATAGGAACTGCAATCTATTTACTGATATCGATCCGTTTATGACGATGAATTTGTCGGGCGCTGAAACGTAAGGTAAGACTAGTGCATGATCAAAGTCCAGATAAGTTCTACGAAAGAAGGAACATTCTTGTACAGAACCACACCAGCGGTATCTATGTGATCAGTCCAAGTCTAGATTTCAGATGCAGAGGGAGGAAGCCAGGTAGCAACATCGACGACATCTGTTAGACTGCAGTTTGTGCAAATTCGCAGTAGATGGTCGTCGTTATCTTGCCGGAGCACTTCGAGGAGGTGAGCGGAATCTTACACTCAGTCGTACCAGGGTATTTGGAGGGAAAATAAAATGGGTGATAAGTGGATTCTGTAGCGGCTGCTGAAATTATCATGTCTTTCTAGAGACCCAGTAGCTATGCAAGCTCTATTATAAAGTCCCAAACGTGGCTGACTTGGAACTGCTCATAATTATCTGAACGGCGAGACTAATAAGCCCTACTTCATTTATTTCTTTTTTATCTGAAAATCCATTAACTGTTTAGACGTACAGAAGACAAATACAGTGAATGCGTATGCAACACATGCATTTCAAAAATATAATATATTGAACATTTAAGTAAACCGAATATAATTAATATTGTACATGGAATTAGTGACAAGTCAATATTCACGTTATTCAGTGGGTAATTATATAATACCTCAAGTATACACATTTAGTGTTTTTTTAAAATAATGCCACCGTACGACCCACAAGATGCAACTAACTGTTTGGATAGAAACAATTTCGTTGTTTGTTGATTAGTCGCTTATTCAGAAGAAGTAGTTGAAGTTTGCAACGTTGAATTGAGACTAATTGAACTTCGATCGAACTGTGGCGTATTCATTCGAAGAAATACTTCAACATTTGTTATACAGTTATATTCAGACGTACTAATATCTGTGCTTGTTTTAATATCTTCGTGTTCAACAAGCTGAAAACAGAGGCATAGAAAAAGCATTTAAGTAGTTTATGAACTATTTCTGACAATCTCAGATCGTGATTTTGGACATTTTAGGTTCACTTCCAACTAAATTTAGATTTAAAATAACTGAGAAAAAATCTCGCCAACAGCTATAGATGGCTGCAAAATATGGTCATGCCAAAAATATTCTAGTTCATTCAAATGAATGGGATATGAGACTTATTCTCTATCAATCGATTATAAATAGGACAGAGTGAACTTCTGCGCAATAAAATTGTCCTTTGGTTGGCAAACGTATATCTCGCCTGTGCCACAATGGACACAAGTTGGTAAAAGCCAGTCACGCTTTCTGTATCCGTGTTGAGTTTCGTCAGACAGCGGGCCATCAGGAGTGATGAGACTCCCAAAATAAGTGAAGCGGTTGATACGCTCAACTACTTACCCTTTATCACTAGTTGAGGAGTCGACACAAGCCAATCCTGAAGCAAGGTTTTGCATTTCGAGGAGTAGGATCACACCCCAAACACGTCAGAGCTGTGGCTCAAGGTGGTCAAAGGCCTGCATTATGTTGTTATTCACCAAATGGAGATAAGTCATCTGCATATTATAGGCCAATAAAGTGGTGGATCGCTTGGCAGCTGAAGCCCTGTAAAGTCGGACGAGGAAAGCGTTAACTCTAAGAACATGTCTATGACAAAGCTAAATAAAGATAGGGGAAGTGGACAACCCTGAAGAACACCACTTGAATCGTTTAATTTTGATGAAAGTTCGCCATAAGCTCCAACTCGACCACTAGTGTTTGAGTATACAACCAGTAAAAGGTTAATATACTTCTTTGGTAAGCATTTCAATGACAGACGCTGCAAAAGAACCTCGGGATTAATAGATTCGAGCGCCGTTTTAAGATCAAGGAATAAGATATTTTTCGGACGTCGAAAAATGTGTCTATATTCTAGGACCTTGAGAGGAGTGAATATTTGGTTATTCATCCACGTGTATGTCTAAAATCAGCCTGGTTTTCTCAAGTTCTAGTTAGACAATGAAGTATTATTCCAGTTATTATTTTAGACATTATATTAATTGAACTGATTCTTCTGTGATGGACAGAAGAAAACTTTCGTTCTTTCTTATAGATTAGGACAATCGGTTATCGAGACCAGTCAGATGAGACTATGTTCAGTCAGTCATCAGTTAACCTAGCTGCTAAAACTGGACCAACATCCTCGAAATTCGCAGAGATTAACACATTAGAACCAGCTGCTCTCCCTCGCCTTAGATTACTTATAGCCATTTCAACCTCATTAAGAGTCATTTGGGTTACTTCAGTTTGCTACTCACGTTGAATGTAGATTGTGGATAACTGAAGTGTGGTTGACGGCCAGTTCAACTGCTCTCTAAAATGTTCTGCCGATAGATCCAATCTCCTGGCCCAACCGTAGCTGCTACCGTGACTTCGAAAACTTCTCATGAAAAGGCTGCGTGTGACCAGCCTGATAAAGCTGTCACGTTATAAAAATTACAGAGATGACAGAAGGTAATTACTTCTACGTGCACTACAGCTGTGGAATACGGCTTTTGAATGTAAGAAACATGTAATATGAGCATTTGCTAAATTTGGTGAATTCTTCCACGGTGTGGGCAGCCAAAAAGTGACGTCCACCCTCATACTGGTAACAACACACGAGACCGAATTGATCAAAATCAATTACTTCCTACAGCCCTAACATCTCTCTTATCGCCACAACTAACCCTTCTCAAATTCCCTTATCGACACGCATCGTTAATGCGAACGATTCGAGTTCACGAAACGTTATTCGTCATGTCCTGAAACCCCGTTTTAAACTATGTGTTAGAGCTTTTAACGTCCAGACCTTGTATCGAACAGGGCAACAGGCTGCCATGGTTAGGAATCTCGCGCCATCGATGTATGCTGTCTCCAAAACGCTCAGACACGAGCCGAGAACAGTTATTTATTTGAGCTCATCTAGTCAAATAAAAGACCACTGCGACTTACGTCCCGTAATATCTGGGAGCGCTGCTGCTGCTTCCCATGGCCTCGCTGGTGTAGGTATACTATTGAGTCGTAGGGCAGAACTAGCTGTCCTAGACTGGATCTCAGTAGATAGTCGCTAGTGTGCTGTCCGACTAAACAGGACAGTAAGGACTCGAAAAGATAGGTACAAACACCGTTGCCTGTATGTTATCTCTGCCTACGCTTGCACTGAATGCAGTTCAGACAGGATAACAGATGAGTTTCACAGAAACCTTTAGACCTCCTCCAAAACGTGAGACGCTCAGACATATTATTAGGGGCTAGTGGCTTCAATTCTCAAGTATGTAGACTCAGCGAAAAGGAAAGACACCTGGTTGGATCTTATGGTGTCGTGGTTCAGAGAACAGATAATCGCGACCGTCTGCTGCAACTATGCTCGGATAACCGCTTATTTCTAACAAACTAACTGTTCAAACACAAGGAAAAATATCTTTTGACATGATGAACCCCTAAGCCGCGTCAACGCTGGACAAAACTAGATCACATTGTCATCAGCCACCGATGCAGGGGTTCAACACAGGACTGTCGCTCGTTCTGGTGCACATGTTTGGATTCACACCATGCTCTAGTGCGAGCGCGTATTTGTTTGCGACTTACTGGACGTAGGAAAAATATCTCAAGGAAACCTGTTGGGGTTCTACTTAATGATAGAATTGCTAAGAATATATTTCAGGCACAAATAGAAAAGTAATTAGGCGGCCGTGTAAGTGATTCCCATCCGGAGGTAGCTTGGAAAGGTCCCGAAAAGTCTGTGGAAACAGCATTGATATCTGCTAGCAGGATAAACCATAAGACTAGGAAGAAGCCGTGGATCTCTAGCATCTACCGCTATGATACTGATATGCTTACCCCAGAGATTTTTAAGGGAGGCGGTACAGTTTCAACAGTAAGATTGACTGAGATCTTAGGTAGAATCTGGGAATTGAACGTAATCCCATCTGACTGGTCTCAATCACTGATTGTCCAAGTCTACAGAAAAGGGCACAAGTTCTCTTGTGAAAATCAGTTTAACTAATATAGTGTCTAGATATTGGCCTCAATATTACACCGACGTCTAACTAGAGCTCGTGAAGATCAGACTAGAGAAAACTAGGCTCGTTTCAGACCTGCACTTGGATGTATAAAGCACAGGTCCAGACGCCCTACAATGGTAGTGTTTCTCGACCTTAAGGCGGCATTCGAGGTGAACCTCTTATCTGGAGACACGCTTGCTGACTTAGAGTATGCTGATGAGACATATTTCTATTTGGTGAAGACGCTGACAAAACGCAGTCTTCTTACTACCATAAGCAACAATGCAAGCATGGTCAGGATGCGGCTTTCCTCCTCGAAATGCTAAATATTGCTTCAAGATTGGCTTGTGTTGGCACCTGAACTAGTGATAGGGAGTGAAGCGGTTGAACGTGTTGATTGCTTCATTCACCTCGACAGTCTCATCAGTGCTGATGGCCTGGTTTGTGTCGAAATCTCAGCACGGATACAAAAGGCTTGATTGGCTTTTGCCAACTTGCGTCACCTATGGTGTAGGTGAGATTTCCGTTCGCTAACCAAAGGACGAGTCTATTGTGCAGAAGTTCAAAACAGGGTCAGTAAGAGTAGATATTCGTAGCTTATTAGTATTCAATTACAGATGTCTTCAAAGCCGTTTGCATTGGAACAGGTGCATTTATTCTTTGTTCTCTGTCAAATCCTAACCTTCTGAATTCCTCATCACCTTCATCTTTTTTCAAAGTTTATTTCATTAGATTATACTTCTTGAAGAATATCCTCAATCCCTAATCTCTCCGATTACTGCTAATACTTCTACTACCTCTACTACTATGGGATTTGAACTGACAGTTGCGTCTTTGTTGTGCCAATGCGGTATGGTAACCTGAACTGATGTACGTACTTACGAAGTTCTATGTTGTAACTGACTGACCGATCTCTCGGACTGAGAATGAATACTAGTCCCGTCTTTTTTTGAGAGTCAAAGAAATACACTCGGTAAGTAAACTAATTTTTAAAAAAATTTAATTAATTTACTTTTGTCAACTTATGTTTGTCAAGAGTTTAATCCATTTTCCCAAATAATTTTTTTATTTCCTCCATATATGATGCTGTTATGAAGCATAGAAACTGAAACACTTGTAGACAATGGTTCTGTACTGAAATGATCGATTAGTTTGATTTCTTTATGAATAAATACAATTTGCCAATAAATATTAATTATGCTGCTAACCAGTTGATAATGCAACATGATGTGATGTAGATGAATGAGAACTTGTCTCCAAAATGAATCGGCTATTTTAGTATATATATATATATATATATATATATGCACCGTATTAATAGTAGTTTATGAAAAACATAAAATTTCGAGTCAACAAACAATTATGAAAACAATAGATTCCATCGACAGACGGTCAAGATGAAATGCTTACTAATATTCTCTTTACTTACTAAAGTAAGTGAAGTAGTATATGAAAAAAAGCAATATCTGTGAATATTGAGGAAAATACCAACCATCATAATGCAAAGAAATAAATTAAAATAAAACTTACAGATTCTTCATATGATGGCCCTAATGAATACATATCAGGTTGAATAACAAGATTCGATGCTAAAAGATTTGATGAATCATATTGAACGTCAGTACTTCGCTCTCCATCCGAATGATCTAACTCCATATGGTGTACATCCATTACAGCGGCTATATGAAAGAAAAAATTAAGCACGAGATAAAAGTCAAATAAAAAATTTATAGAAAGTTAAGAAAAACAAACATCAAAGAACCGTTTGTAAATCTCTAGTTACTTAAATAAAAGAGGACTTAGTTGTTGATTAATGTTTGATGAAATTGAGGTTTCTTATTAAAAAAAAACACTTATACTTTACGACTTATTCTATCATCATCACAGTAGAAAATTCCCCATCTTCAAGAATATATGATTAAGGAATAGAATGGAAAAAAAAGAATTTAACACTTTGTGATGAATAGATTATAAATAAAATTTAAAAAAAAACGACGATTCAACAACTAATTGTGTGTAAGTGGTCATAATGAAACATAACCATCATATGACGCTTCTCATTAATTTTTTCAATTACAGTTATAGAGATTAATGTTTGTTGCACATTGTAATCATCAATCAATCATTCTTAGACCACCACCATTAGGAAACCTGGAAGCACTGGAACAGTCGTTTCATCCTGATTGATGATTTCAATGTGCTTCTCTCTTTAAGCCTAGGATAACACATTTGACTGATTATTTTTCAGAAAGTTATGATAATAAATGATAATCAAAATTCAACACTCAAGTAACCGATTTGAAACGTTACGACTTAATTAAATTTCTGTGTGAATAATAGTTCAATTGTGCGCTGAAAATTATTTATCTGTGATGCTTATTCAAAAATTGCGAAACCTTAACTTAGTGATGATTATAAAACAATGTAACCAAAGATTTTACTTCATGGAAAGTTTTAAATAGACAGCTTACTATATATACTTACATTGTCACATGTAACCTAAGAATCATGGAATGTTTCAGATTTTGGTAACAGTTGTTTTTTGTTGTTCTAACAGGCATTGGAAAAGAGAAAGCGTAACACACATACCTAAAAATCTACAAATACTTTCAGAACTTTTTCAGCGTCAATACTTCTCTTGAAGCTAAGATAAGAACTAATAGTGGCTTTATATAGATTTAAGAATTTATTCGAATTGAAAATGAAATTGAGTTACACGTTATTAATATTAATTATGGAGTAAGCAATTTTGAGAAAGGAGTAATTTCAATGTTTGTGTTGAGTTTTATTCATACTGTGAAATACACATTATGAAAAAATAAAATAAAAGTATAATAACTTATGAGTGGATACAATATGTAACATATGGGATGATAATATAAATTTGATTATCTTCTTAAGCTTACAGATGAATGAATATGTCCTAATAACGATCTTTAGATAATTATATGAATTAAAACAACGAAATCAAGACAGATGTGATCAAGTGATCAGGTGCATCGACACCTGAATTAATGATAGGGAGTGAAGTAGTTGAGCGTGTTGATCGCTTCACTTATCTGGGGAGTCTCATCAGTGCCGATGGCCTGGTGACTGACGAAATCTCAGCTCGGATACAGAAGGCTCGACTGGCTTTTGCCAACCTGCCTCACTTATGGCGTAGGCAAGATATCTGTTTGCTGACTAAAGGACGAGTGTACTGTGCATTAGTTCGCTCCGTCATACTATATGGCTGTGAAACATGGCCAGTGAGAGTAGAAGATATTCTTAGGTTGCTATTATATCCTGGGACAACCGTATAAGCAATGTTTTTATTAGGAAACGGGTGTTAGGTAAGAATGTCAGATCAATAGATGAAGTAATGAAACTTTATCAGTTGAGGTGGTTGGGACACGTGTTGCGTATGCTTAACCACCGACTGCCTCTTCGAGCTTTGTTTTGTAGTGTAGGAATAGGTTGGAAGAAAGTTAGGGGCGGCCAGACCAAAACATGGCAACAATCCATGAAGTCATTGACAAGTGGACTGAGTCATGTTGACAGATGTAGGCTATCTAATTGGAGTCCGCGAGATGTTAGTAATCGATGGTTATAGACCCTGAATGACATGGCTCAAAACCGTTTGCAATAGCGCCGGTGCATTTATTCTTTGTGTTCTCTCAAATCATAATCTTCTGGATTCTTCAACACCTCTAGTTTTGTCTTTCTAAACTTATCTCACTGAATCATACTTCCTGAATAATATCTTCTAATGCTAACCTCTCCGATTACTTCTAATACCTTTAATACCTCTACTACTAAGGGATTTGAATTGACAATGACATCTCTGTGCTAATGTTGTGTGGCAACATGAACTGATGCACTTACGTACGAAGTTCTAAGTTGCATCTGACTGACTGACTGACTGATTGATTGATTTACTTTGAAACATAAAAGTTCAATATTACAATGGATTTAGGACTTTTAGTAATGAGAAATAGGTTTAAACACTTTTGAAAAGTTAACTACGACATTAGTTGGATGGATTTATTTATTCGTATGATTAAATATGAGGATAAAAATTTTCAACAACCAATAAGACTAAATAATACAAAAGTATAGATATTAATAATGTTCACACAAAAAGGTATGATTTCCTAATAAGTATTTAAAATTTAGTGTACTTTCCTTTTACTGTGACAGTTTAAAATAGAGTGCAATGATTTCGAACATGTTTTAGAAATTTACTGAAGAAAACCCAACAAAAATCCGCTTTTTTTTTTACTAGTAATGAAGTTTACAAGAACTTTTAGGCAAATAAATAACTACAACTTTGAGAGCAGAAGGAATCAGTTACAATTATGTATTCGTAACGTTACTAATAATACCATAAATAATTACTGATGTAATTTTACACATAAAAGAATCCTACTGATAACATTAATTATAATTAACATTATTCAAATACATTTGTTTCATTTAAAAGTATATAGATTTAGATATTTGAAAATAATAAATAGATTTTCAAGAAAATCTATTTAGTTGAAATAACAGAATCATTTTCTATCCTAAATCAATTTAGAATACATCAAAGTAGTTGTTCTTTTACATTGTTGATTGAATTTATTTACAAAATATGGATTTATGTACCAATCATCCAATCAGAGACTTTGTACACGGGTCAGTGATATTGCGCAACTGTACTAACCGGGACTAGGTGTTACAAAATTCATTAATGTCATTTAATGACATAAAAATAAATGCCTTAACCATCAAGTTACTTTTATATTTGGGATATCTAGTAAATTCAATCAAATGAAGCAATATGGGAACTAACACAAATGTATTTATTACTTATTTGCTTGCTTACTTACGCCTGTTATCTCTGATGGACCATTTTTTTTTAGCAAGTTGGATTTCTATACGATGGAGGTGATGCTAACCAATTTGCTCAACCTTCCTCTTTTATCTAGGTTTGGGACCGACAAAATAGGGGTCTAGGCGAAGTTTAACAGAAATGTATAGACTACTTAATAAATCATCATCATCATCATCATTACCATATATATCGTTAATTTATTTGTATAATCTCCACTTTTACAAACATGGCGCTAATATGAATGAAACTTTCACTTACCAGCCATTGAATCAGTAAATGAAATATCACCAATTGGTGGTGAACCTGGTGGATAACTACTACTACTACAAACAGAATCAATAGTTCTAAAATCATATGATTTTTCACCAGTCTCTTCTATTTTAAGTGAAACAGGTTTATCATGAATTGTAGTAGATGAAGAGAATGTTTTATGTACATCTGGTGTGGATGATTCAACTACTAATGGAGATAATGTATTATCAATAGGTTGATGATGAGATGATTCAATAATTTGATTATCAAGACTAGTAGAAGATAAAGGATAACGTGGACATATTGTATTTAATAATGATGCTAATGTATCATTACTGTATGATGATGACATGGAGGATTGATTTGTTTCGGTTGAAACTAACAATAAATCATCTGTATTAGAAGGATTTTTCGATAGTGTAATAAATGACATGACATTATCCGATTGTAATGATGATGCATTTGGCGAAGGTGATAACAGACTAGATGAAGAAATACTATGACCTTGAGGTAGTTGTTGATCATTGAATACTATTGATGTTGACGTGGTTACCACTGGTTGTTCATTATTCAATACTTTAATGGATGATGACCATAAATTATGATTGGAATTGGATGGAGTTGAAAGTGTTATTGATTTAGAAGGATTGTTATTAGCAGACGCTTCATCACCTTTGATTGTTGGTAAAGTTTGATGATCAATTGACTGTAAATTATAAGCATATTTATAAATCAATATAAATCAATACAGAAATGATTATTGCTCGATGCATCTATTGAATATTGTGACCTGTAATTAATCCATTATCGGTTAATTAGTAAACAACACAACTTAAGAGTCACGAATAGGATATACGTCCTAAGTTTCGTTGTTAGCCATCATTAACAATATAATAATATTTAATAAGTTGGATAATTGCAGAAGGTAATAGTCGGTAGTTCCGTCTATTTCATGACAATCTTAAACACATATCCACAGTATTTATTCAGAAAACAATTAAGGATTTTTGTAGTTCGTGGTTAGTATGTGTTACATTTAAATTGTTAGATTCGATTCCAATACCGTCAGCACAAAATGTTACATAACTCACAGCTGACAATAACTTGCGTCGTCTATAATGTAGGCGAGATTTTAATATACTTATTACATTTATACATAGTGAAATATCCTGCAAGTAGAACGAGATTAAAATCTGTGACTTCGGAGCTACTGCTTCAGCTACGGAGGACAAGACAAACTTACTATTCAGAAAATCACCATTATTAATGGAGTATATTTTTGAATGACAAACTATGTATGATACTTTTTGTGATACTACTCAAGTGCTCGTACATAAAAAGAAATCGGAGGTTGACTGTTACCCAGTGTTTGGAAGCTGAGATTTTTCACCACCGAGCTATCATGTCGCAAAGATTCCTGTAATTCCCAAAAAGGATATTTTTAGGCAAGCGTTGCGAAGTCAGATATGTTTATCAGAGTCACATGGAGGTGAACTATGCATAGAAGTAAATTCTATTATTCTATATTTGATTAGATTATACACGAATAATCCATTGATTATATCATATTTTTTTGTAAATTGGTTCTCTAAGGAGAAGTAGTGTAGTGAACGAGAACACAGGTGGGGCAACCGGATTGTATTTAGCGAAAATTACAGAGTTACTCAGTAAAATCGGAAAACCATATCGTAAATCGTTAATTTGCAAAATATCAGTCCATCATATCGAACTGGACTGTTCCTGTTGCAAAACATCAATCCACTGTCACTATTCATGAGTTTCATACAAATTCCATTGTGTTCTAACTCTTCCTTTCTTGATCTTCCCCCGATCTTCTGCTGCCAGACATTACGTTGACACTCACGTCATATACTACTTATAAGAAGCTCGCACCACAGTAGGTCTAACTGACTTTCCTAGTTAGATTATGTTGATTTGTAGCGTTAAGTAAATCACTCTACTTGGGAACTAAGTTATTTATGATTGATTTTTTTTCGGAATGTTCCCTACCCTTAATCAAAATTTGAAGATTCTAAATGTGCTGTTGGATGATATCAAAGATTTTTAATAACAGATAGGCATACGCATTGATTTCCAGTTGTCTTTTTTTAACTAAGATCAGTTAGTGAGTAAAGTTATTTAAAAGTTACTAGTCACCTCACTTAAAATCAGAAACTTTGATATAACGAAAAGATTACCTGGAGTAATTGAACTGTAGTAGAGTTTGAAGAATTTGTTGAAGTATTATTGTAAGATGGTGGCGCATTACTTGAAAGAGATGTACAAGTTGATGGTTTTGATTGTAATTCTTTAGCTAAGATTGAATTTTCCGTTAAACGTTTATTGACTTGTGATACAATACTAGTTCGACGTCGTGCATTAAATGCCTTTAAAGATTTTAATGATGAAGTAACAGGTGGATTATTTTCACTTTCAATTGTACTTGTGGATGTTGAAGAAATAGAACTAGATAATACAAAATTACTTATTAATGGTGTTGATGTTTTTACACTAGTTTGAATGGGTACAGTTGATTGTTTCGGTAGTAACGGGATATATGATCCTTGACTCATTGCTACCGCTGATGTTACTTGACGTACATGGTCTAATTGACGTTCAACAATAGGAAGTTGTATCTGTATACAATTAATAAAAGAAAAGAAACTTTTAGTGAATAATTAACGAAATCAAACAACAAAAAGAATCTTGAAACAATTATATATCTATGACAAGCATAAACATTGTGTTTTTTTTAAGAATAATTTGGACATAGGCATCAGTTCATAAGAAAATAATATTCATCTATTAAGGTTTTGATGTCAATTCTAAGGTTTAGTGAACAGTCATCACTAGATTACAAACTCATGTGATCGATCACACTTCTCGATACAGACATAGCGAATACAGAAACAATACTGTATACATTTTAATCAGAACTTTGATTTCAAGTTTTTAAGTATATTCATCAATATTTAAACGAATAGTTTGACACTTATTAGGTCCTGAGTAATATCGAAGACATTATTTGTGAGAAATGCATTTGAAGTAATCTCAGTGATTGGAATTTTGGACTCCTTCAAGGCAATCATGATAATCCAAATTATCATGGAATACACAACGTTTTTAATAATCAAATCAAGTTTACACTGATTATTTATCCAATCATATTTAGATGTTTACTTACTTAGTAAGTAGAGTAACATTAATCAAGTGAGATACGAAAAGCGTGAAAAATAAATAAATGTGTCCATGTGTATGTAAATTTATGTTATTAATAGTTTATATTCGGTAAATGATTGTCAGTCATTCATTTATTAAATAAGCTTGCACAAAATCCTTGGACTGATCAGAGTTAGACATTAACACCGTTGAATGCCGACTCAGTGGTTTAGAGGTTAGGCGTTCGAGTGCAGGACCGAAGGTCCTGGGTTCGAATCCTGTGAGTAGCAGGTGTCGTGGGATGCGCACTACTGATGAGTCCCATACCAGGACGAAACGTCCACCCTGTGCTTTCAGGTTTCTAAAGGTAGTCTAACAATGATTCATTGATGATTTCAAAGTCAATATACAATTTGAATGAGTGAGTAAATTGAGAATTACCGATTGCATAATTACGATATGTAAAATATTACAATTCATTAATTACCATTCGATCAACATTACAATTAACTGAGAAAATACATAGAAAGTACAGTTGGTGATTAAACCTTCTAAGTCAAATGAATAACGTTGATAACCATCAACCGGTAAGTACTAAGTTCATGTTAACTGAGTTATTCTGATCTTAAACTTCATCTATTTGAATACAGTATTTATAGAAAGAAGCTGTCAGGTGGTGATTAAATTAACATGCTAACACTAAGTACTTATCGATGTATGAACAATGAGGAATTCAACACACTTATCAAGTTTAGTAACATAGTAAGTACCATGATAGGTTGCTTCATAAATACATCAGTTTTCAATAAATTTTGATTATTTTTTTACGAAGCTAGTAATAAATGCAATATCATCTATGACTAATTAATACTTTATTTAAGAATTCACAAATTAAATTGATTCTAGAATCTAAAAACTAACTAACTATTTGCTCATTATTAGAAATATTTTTTAGTTCAGTCTTGAGCATCATCGATTTGTATTATAGTTGCAAATCTTAAAGCTTAATGTTTTGATATCTTTCTACCTGTAAATAAGAAATACAGTTTATATCCTCCTTGTAGTGGAGTGAAGTAGAACACAGGTGAGGGCAACCGAATTGTATTTAACGAAAATTACAGAGTTACTCAGTAAAATAGGAAAACCATATCTTAAACGGTTAATTTGCAAATCTTAGATCCATCATCAATCCATTGTCTGACATTTCACTATTCATGCGTTTCATATAAATTCCATTGTGTTCCCACTCTTCCTTTCTTGATCTTCCCCCCATCTTCTGCTGCCAGACATTACGTTTACACTCGCTTCATATACTACTTATAAGAAGCGCGCACCACAGTAGTTATATCATTCCTTTCTTTATAAACCTAAATCTAAACTTTTATCCCATGAGAAATTTCTGTGGACTGTTGCATGTTCACGTTCAAGTCAGTCAGTAATCATGATCACATTTTGTATATTAGAAGTGTGCATACTATTTTTTCTTCACTTCACATATATTTGAAATTTCCCCGACAAAACAAGGGTTCAAACTTTTTATGTAATAATTGCCTTTTATTTAATTTTTTATATTACAAAAGCAAACTTTTTCTATATTAAACTAACTTTTTGTCTAACTGGTTGTTGCAATACAACTAATTTTGGACTTTGAACTGTAGCTACTGTAGTAGGCCTTATTAAACTATTTGTTGTTAATAATGAAGAAATAATTGGATTTGAAGCTGATAAAGTGGAGGAGTTCAATTGAAAAAATGATGGTTGTCCATTAATCAGTACTTGTATAGTATTCGGTTGAGAATACATCATAATTGTCGGTTGTCTGGATGATATAGTGGTAGTGGTAGTAACTACTATAGGTTGTTGAGCTGTAACTACAATAGGTGATTCAGATGATATTTGAGATAAATGACTTCCAGTTGATGATTTTGATAATAATGTTGATGTGTTACTGCTACTTTGAATAGTTGTAATTGTGACACCAACAGGATTGTTAACATTAGGAGTGACTTGAGACGAATGACAAGATATAGGGAGTGATGTATCGCTTCGAATAGAATGACGAGACTGAAATTGAAGATTACATTATGTGTAAACATAACTGAAATACATATATATAATAAATGAATAGTTGAAGTTTGTTCCATTTATGAATTTAAATAAGGTCAGAACAGAATATGAGTTCATTATATTTTGTGGTTTATCACCAGCTGCTTATGATCGTATGTGTATAAAAAGTGAAACAATGAGTTATGATAAAATATGAAGCAGTATCTATTGATGATAAAAACATCAGAAGGGCTAAGACAGTGATCAAATGTAGTCCGTAGACAGATAAGATAGATCGTGTGATATAATCATGGAATTTGTGAGAAATTCAAACAAGTTTTAGATCAATTGTCTGGACTCAATAATTGAAACGTTATATAATTTGAAGAGACTTACATAAGTGTCAAGAAACGAATTATTGAAATCATAACTCATTGTAAAATATTATTATACATATGGTTACAAGCAGCTGATGAGAAATCATGAAATATAATGAAATGACATTATTATGCCTCAGATTTTGTCCTGGCCTTATTTAAATGAATTTGAATCAGATAAAGAAAATATTCGACATTGAAGATAGTTTATATCACAGACAAGTATAATCTGGGAAACAAATAAAAACTAGGGAGTACAATTAAGTGCTTGGCCTACTACGAGACTCTCCAGTAATTAATGTTAACTAATCGTGTTGCTAACTCTGTCTGGAAACCTTTTCGGGGGTTACTGCCGGTCCCAAATCCGGCTAAAGGAGAAGGGTCGGGAATGAGACTAGCAACCTTATCCCGTACATAAGGACATTGTTAAAAAACATTAGCCATTAAAAACCATCCTGTCCTAGGAGTTGGAAAGTCTATCTTTACAAGAGTTATGACGCCGCAAGCCAAGGTTCTTCGAGAGTCACGAGACCAGTACCTTTTTTGACAATCAGAGCATCAATTAATTTAGGTACATGAAATGCTTGTATAATGTGGGAGATCGAGAGAACCATTCAAGTTGTTGTGGAAATGAAAAAATACAACTAGGTGGATCTTAGAATAAGTGAAATCCATCAGAGGCATGCTGGAAAAAAAAAGATTAGCTTCAGGAATGATGCTGTTGTACTTTGGCCAAGAAGAAGAAAATGTCACAAACACAAACATTCACACTGATGCTGTCTAAAGACTGCCAAAAAGCATTTAAAGGATGGGAATCGCATCTGTTCTGTTTTTTGTCTTCTTGCTCAAGCAGCGTTTTTCGAGGAATACTAGAGTTTGTTACCCCTAGTCCTCGACACCCTCACATCATAACAGATTATAACGACGGACTGTTAGTCCCACGTGAGAATAGATAAAATGTCAAAATGTGAATCTCAGTAGAGCAGCTTAAATCAGTTTTGCAGCAGCGAAAAAGTTATTCCAAACATCACAATTGAAAATGATCGAAATGATGACACAAATGTTTTTAATTCAAAATAAGTCAGCAACCAAAGGACGAGTGTACTGCGCAGCAGTTCGCTCCATTTCATTTTATCAATGCGAAATATGGCCAGTCAGAGTAGAAGATGTTCATAGCTTACTGGTTTTCGATCACAGGTGTCGCCGAAGCAAACAATGCTGTTGTTAGGAAACGGGTACTAAGTAGGGTAGGAAAATCAATAGATGAAGTATTGGGACATATGTAACAAATGCCCCAAAACCGACTGCCTCGTCGAGCGGATTTGAACTGGCAGTTGCGTCTCTGTGATGGGGCCGTATGACAACCTGAACTTATATACTTACGTACCAAGTTCCAAGTTGTGAATAACTAACTTACTGACTGTTGCCTGTCATCGCTACCTTTTCAATTAATCTTGCTTTCATTAACTACCACTGTTCGCAATCATTGAGACGGATTTTTATCAGCCTGCAACTAGGCTGACTCCGATCCTCATCTTACTCAGAGCCAGGAGGGATGAGTTTCCGAGCATCCAGCAGCTCGGTAGATGCCACTGAGATCCACGGCTTCATCCTAGCATTATACTTCATCTTACTAGCAGATATCAATGCTGTTTCCACAGACTTTTCAATATCATCCCAAGCTACCTCCAGATGGGAATCACGTACACGGCCACCTAATTATTTTTCTAGTTGTTCCTGAAATATATTCTTAGCATTATTATCATTAAGTAGAGACCTAAGAGGTTTCTTTGAGATATTTTTCCTACGTCCGGTAAGTCGCAAACAAATACGCGCTCGCACTAGACCATTATATGAATCTAAACATGTGCCCCAGAATGAGCGACAGTCCTCTGTTGAAACCCTGCATCGGTGGTTGATGGCAATGTGATCTAGTTGTGTCCAGCATTTGGACGACTTTAGGAGTCACTACGTCAAAAGATTTTTTTCCTTGTACTTGAGTACTTAATGTTTGCTAGGAATAGGCGTTCATCTGAGCATAGTTACAGCAGACGGTCCATTCAGCCGTAACACAGTATGATCCACCCAGATATCTTTGCTTTTTATTGAGTCTAGCTACTTGAGCATTGAAGTCATCAGAGCGCCTAACTTTTTGGAGGAGGTCCAAAGCTTTCTGTGAAACTCATCTTTTACCTCGTCTGAACTGCAGTCAGTGGAGCGTAGGCAGAAACCACAGAGGCAATGGCAAGTTTCCTTATTTTTGAGTCCTTACTGTTTTGTTTAGTCAGGTGGAGTATAAGTGATTGTCTGTAAAGATCCTAAGCACTTGAGTAGCTGCTTTTAGTCTCACAACTCGCCAATCGACCTGCATCGCATGGTAGATACTACAAGAACATATGTTCCAGCCAACATAGTTCGGTTGGGTCATCACGATAGGCGATCCCGACCATTATGTCAAGGTAACAGCTACGTTCGGGATAGAACTAAGAAAGCCATCATCCATAAGATACAGGGGCTTACTAACAGTTGTCTACGTAAGATACTCTGGATCCGTTGACCAGACACTATCAACTACAACCTGTTGTGAAATGGATAGGACATATTACAGAAATCACCTAACTGCGTCACAAGGGAAGCCGTGGATTGGGATTCTTAAGGCCGAAAGAAAAGAGGCAGACCACGAAACACGCTGTGCTGTCAATAGGAGGCAGACATGAATCGAATAAATAGCATTTGGGACAGCTGGGAGGGAGAGCCCAGGACAGAGTGAGTTGGAGAATGCTGGTCAGCAGCCTCTGCTCCACAAGGAGTAACAGGTGTACGCATTCATTTTGCTAGTAAACCTACAACTATAGGATAAATGAATTTATAAGGCAGCTGATAGCAGGATAAACAACACTAAAACAATTCATAATGATTACGATCCAACATTCAAATGTAGCAGGAGTTTACTAAGGAATTTGTTTTTTAATTTTCAACATTGGGCTGAAACAAAATAGTCCATTCTTCTCCACAAGCTACTTCACAATATAATTCTAAAAGGAACACACCAGTGGATAAATCATCCGATACAATGCTTTGTTTTACTATGCTGAGTAAAAAGTTTTACTGACTAATAAGCATGGACAATCTTTTTAAAAAGTCTAAACGGCATTAAGAATACAGAAATAAGTCGACTTACAACCCAATCACGATGAAGTAAATAATCACTGGCATTCAAATGTAAAAGACGCCTCAAACCGTTGCTTATCCCATCTCCATCTGGATCTAATGGTGGACATATTAGTAAGTCGGAGTAGGATGAACTCGACAGTTTCTGTGTTCCTTTGTCTTTAGTACAGTAAAACTGATATTCAAAACGTATACGTTCTGGACACCCCAAAGCTAAATAAATAGTTACCACTTTAATTTCACGTGCCATCTGGTAAAATTTAAAACAAAACAGAAAAGAGAACTGTAGTACATCCAAGCACAACCAAGTCACATTAGTCAATCAATAAACGAAATTTCCTTGAGGTTAGCAGAACAAGCTACAGGTCAAACGTGGAGAAATCCGAATACTTCACTTCTATCTAAAGTTTGTGCTGATGATGCAGTTTGTTCAGAACAACAATGAAAGCTCCACAACCAAAACATCCAGCTCAGAGAACCAAACACCACCACCACAATCATCCACCTGAGCTACAAATTTTCTCTACCATCTCAAAAACGATAGATTAAAATCGATTTGTAACAGATAAATTTACATTTTAGTCAGTCGGTTTACTATAAGCTTTACACTCAGATATTAAATCGACTGGTAGGTATCAGAAACTTTCCACAGTATTTTGGTTTACAACTGGTAATCGATCACATACTGCTTAAATATGTTTATTTCCTATAACACTGAAATACATGTTTTATTGTATTTCACACTATAATAAATATGATGCATTATATGGCGATTTAATCAATCAACTAGAAATAAACAAATTAGCATCTGGTACAAATGTCTACTGATTCAATTTACCACACGGTCGTATGGCGAGATGAAATTAACACGATACGTAACAATGAAGCCGAAGCGATAATATCAACCACGAATATTGAAAATAACTCCGCCTGGAGCCCTTTTCTAGGGTTATTGTCTGTCCCAAACCCAAATAAAGGAGGAGGGTTAGGCATGGAGTTAACGACCTCATCCCATAGAAATCCAAATCGCCAAAAAAAACGCTAACTAGAAAAACAATTAGCTGGTCGGTGGCCTATGCTCCATTAGAAATAACAGGCGTAAATAAGCGAGTAAGGTAGTAAACAATGAAAGCATTGTTTTAACATAAAGATTGAATCGGTAGGATCAGATGCATGGAATAACACTGAAACTTAGGATAAATTATGGATGTAACTGCATCAATGAGACTGATTCTGATCCGTTACGATTATGACGCCGGAACCAACCAGGCAGTATGCAACTACTGACAATCATAGAGTGATATGTCTTGAATTAGACTTAGGAATTGCTCATCCAGTAGTTTCACTATATCTAAGCGGTGTTTTTATACTGCTAACGTATGTATGTAAGTTAGCATCAAATGGATAAAATAAAGTGCTACTTAGCCGCTTGTGAGTTACAAATACTGTACTACATTATATCCATCAAGTCGAGTGACTAAACTACTGGACAAATCAAATCAGATTACCAAACACGACTAGAATCCTGGTAACGTAGCTAGATGGAACAGGACACTTTATGCGAAAACAAACAAACAACGATCAAAATAAAACTCTAAATAAGCATAATTACACTCCCCAACACACTAACCTCATGTGTTATACCAACTGATAACTGTTTCCCAAGATCTCTCAGATCTAGCTCAGCAGTTGAAGTGGATGTAGTAATTGGCAGACCACTAGTAAATTCTGACTCTGATGTATATAATGACGATGCCAAGTTTGTTAACAAATTCGAATTGACTAAATTTGGAGATTCTGTGGGATCATTTTGAACGCCAGTTTGTTTATCTAATAATAAGAGTACAAAAAATAGAATTTGCCAATCAACTATTTAGACATATTTTGTAAAATCGGAACATAGTACAGAAATATATAACGTATAGAATACTAGGCTGACATTAACCATAACTGCCGCAACGGTCACCCCTATCTGTACCATGAGGCACCACACCATTATATCCAGCCACGTGTATTATTGTTTCGTTTAATCACCAGCTACTGTTACCACATTAGAGCGGATTACCTTGTGAAGGTTAGAAAGCCTTCCGTAAAATTCATAGTTTACTTCATCTGAACAACGATCAATCGGAGCGTAAACAGAGACAATAAACGAAGAGGCGACGGACAGTGCTCCATTCTTTACAAGTCGTTATTGTCCTGTTTAGTCGAAAAGCGCACAAACGACTATTTACTGGGATCCAGTTTAAGAAAGCTAGTTCTGTTTTAGAACTCAATGTTATACCTACAGCAACAGGGTCATGGGAAGCATCAGTAGGGCTTCCAGATACACGGAACGTGAATTGCGATGGTCCTTTATTTTTAAAAGATGAGGTTAAATAAATCATTGTACTAAGACCCTGTATGCGATGGTGCGAGATTCCTAGCCAAGGAAGCCTCTTGTCCTATTTGACACAATCTGAACATCAAAAGCTCCGACATGTAGTTTAGAGTGGGATTTCAGGGAACCAAGAATAATATTTCGTGCACTCAGGCAGATCAATAGATGAAATATTGAAACTTCATCATTTGAGGTAATTGGGACATGTGCTGCGTATGCCTAACCACCGACTGCCTCATCGAGCTATATTTTGCAGTGTAGTAATAGATTGGACAAAAGCTAGGGGTGGCCAGACCAAAACATGGCAGAAATGCATGAAGTCACTGACAAGTGGACACTGAGTCATGTCGATAGATGTCGACTATCATACACAGAAAACAAAACCGATTTCACCAAGATAATGAAGAAGAAGAAATATCTAGTTTACTTAATTGGCTGTTAAAAATCAACTACCTACAACACAAAAAAATTAAACTAAGCAGTTAAAGCATAATCATGTATTTACGGTTATGATTTACATGATGCCTATATTTTATATATACTTTTCTAGTTACAAATACAATCAATGTTCTAAATTGAAAAGTGTGAATTTCTTTTGTATAAGTTACAATTAAATTCAATAAAATTAATGACAGTCACAATGGTAGACAATATATAAACTGGTACGCTTAACCACTTTTTTTCCGAAGGAACACAAGTCATAATTATAAGATAGATATTCACAAAAAATGTAAAAATTCACTTCTTACAGACACATATAACTAAGATGACAAACGTTTGATGCATCGCTGTAAAACATAATAATTTTTATCTTTGTTCCGGTTGTTGATAATTTATTTAAATTGTTCCATTTATAAACTTACTACTCATGTCTGTATATTTTATTTAATATAATCAATCTCTAAACACATCTTCAAGAATTTGACGACTAATTTTCCTGGACTAAAGTCCCACATGAAAAATTTATCAGTCACTATGTATTTTATGGAAATAGACCCCTTAAAGGTCTAAAGAGCTTGAAGGGTGTTAGTACTTAATAACAGTGAATCAACCTGTAGCTCAGGTGGATGATTGTGGTGGTGTTTAGTTATCTGAGCTCAGAGAACAAAACACCACCACAGTGAATCAACCGCTGGAAACTAAACGAATGAATAAGAAAAAAGAAAAAAAATTTCAAACTCGAAGTAACATCATCATTAAAATACAATAGATTCCTCCAATAAAAATTTGTTTCAATACAATAAACCATCATAGGTTGAAATGTACTAAATCTAGTATTTATTACTTTCTAAATAGTAGGTATGTATATCATTAGAAAAAATGTGCCATGCACACATAAAGGCGAGCTGTGAACTTCGACAAGAAATATGGAAAAATTATATTGTAAGTAGAAATTCTTCAAGACTAAATCCTAATTCTGAATTACTTATTCCTACTGACATTGGCATGTTATTCAGAAGTTATTCACAAGTAAGTACATAAGTTCAGGTTGCCATACCACATTAGCACAGAGAAGCCATTGTCAGTTCAAATCCCATAGTAATAGAGGTAGTAAAAATACTAGCAGTAATCAAAGAGATTAGGGTTCGAAGATATTAGTCAAGGAGTAAAATAAACTTAAAAAGATAAAAGTGATGAGAGATTCAGATGGTTAGGATTTGAGAGAACACAAACGGTTTTAAGCCATGTCACTCAGGGTCTATAACTATCGATTACTAACATCTGGCGGACTCCAATTAGGTAGCCTACATCTGTCAACATGACTCAGTCCACTTGTCAATGACTTCATGGATTGTTGCCATGTTTTGGTCTGGCCGCCCCTAGCTTTCTTCCAACCTACTCCTACACTACAAAACAAAGCACGTCGAGGCAGTCGGTGGTTAGGCATACGCAGCACATGTCCAAACCACTTCAACAGATAAGGTTTCACCACTTCATCTATGGATCTGACATTCTTACCTAACACCCGTTTCCTAATAACACCGTTGCTCACTCGGGTGTCCCAGGATATACGATCAATGCTTCGGATACACCTATGATCGAAAATCAGAAACCCACGCATATCCTCTACTCTTACCGGCCATGTTTCTCAGCCATAAAGTAAGACGAAACAAACTTCTGCGCAGTAGAATTGTCTTTCGGTTAGCAAACGGATATCTTGCCGGCGCCATCAATGACACAAGTTGGCAAAAGCCTAGATTAATGTACTAATTCGGTACACCTTTTAACGAGATGCACTGCCACAGAACCTCACAATCGAAAGAGCCGAAAGCCGCTTTAGGGTCGAGAAATACTACTGTTGTGTGGTGTCCTAACGTGTGTCATTGTTTTAGGAACTGACGCAGTGTGAATATGCGGTTTATACATCTATGTCCAGGTCTGAAACCAGCCTGTTTTTCTCTAGTCTGCTCTTCACGAGCTCTAGTTGGGCATCCGAGTATTATTAAGGCAAATATCTAGACACTATATTGGTTAAACTGATTCCTCTGTGATTGTCACAAGAGGACTTGTGCCCTTTTTTGTACACTTCGACAATCAGTGATTGAGACCAGTCAGATGGGATTACGTCAAGTTCCCAGATTCTACGTAAGATCTCAGTCAATCTTACTGTCGAAACTGTACCGCCTCCCTTAAAAATCTCTGGGGTAAGCATATCAGTATCATAGGGGTAGATGCCAGAGATCCACGGCTTCTTCCTAGTCTTATGGTTTATCTTACTAGCAGATATCAATGCTGTTTCCACAGACTTTTCGGTATCATTCCAAGCTACCTCAGGATGGGAATCACTTACATGGCCGCCTAACTGTTTTTCTAGTTGCTGCTGAAATATATTCCACTGTAATTGTCACAAGAGGACTTCTGTCCTTTCCTATAAATTGGGACAATCAGTGATTGAGACCAGTCGAACGGGATTACATTCAGTTCCCAGATCCTACCTAAGATCTCGGTCAATCTAGCTGCTACAACTGGACCACCAACTTTAAAAATCTCAAGTGTCAATCTATCATGACCCGCTGCTAGCCCTCACTTCAGATTTCCTATAACTTTCTCAACTTGATAAAGATTCAAATGACTTACATCGATTTGCCATTCAGGTAGTCTGAAGATCATGGGTAGCCGAAATTTGGCTGAGGGCCAATTGGACTGATTCCTAAAAAGTTCTGCCCATGAATTTAATCTCCTGAACTGTGAGTTAATAATAAGGCCATCCTTTTCTGAGACAGTTTCGCTAACAGATGGATTTCTAATACTGGTGTTAGTGTTTGCTGAAATAAGCGGTTATCTGAGCATGGCTGAAGCAGACGGTAGTCATTATTTGTTCTATTAGCCGCGACACCATAAGATCCACCCAGGTGTCTTTCCTTTTCACCTAGTCTACCTACTTGAGCAATAAAGTTGCCAGCCATTATTACTATATCAGAGCGCTTACCTTTTTGAAGAAGTTTAGAGAGGTTTCTGTAAAACCTATCTTTTATGTTTTCTGAACTGCAGTGAAGATAGACACAAGCATGTTTCACACACTCAAGATTAATACCAAGGCTCAATCCAGTCTTCTTGAGTTCTACTGTGACAAACTACAGCTAAGTGCTTGCAAATTAAGGAAGCCAAGATCTTTGAACCTATAAAGTATAATTTGATTTGTATTTTAGTAAGTGTTGATAAAAAGCAGGATTATGGTAGCAAACATAAACGATAATTTCACCAAATATTTAACAACCTAACTACCATAGTTGTAACAGTCAAGTGTTTGGCTGTATTTATCGTTTCACAACTATCACTGTACAAAAACTTATAACATCCTTGAAAAAAATTGGATGAGGTCAGAAACAGAGCACCAAATCTACAAACCTAAAATAAGACTATAATATTTAAAAATCCCGTGATCATTATATCATTTTAATTGATTCATAACAATTTTCTAGTTTCGTTAATTTATTTTACAACTATATAACGTGCATACGAACGAGAACACTAAAGTTACCTGAAATCGTTATGTTCTAGGTTTTTGCCACACAAATTAAAATCACAGTGAAGCTGACCAGCATATTTTACAGTTGCATTTAAGTTCTGAATTAATTTTATAGTTAATTTTATAAAAAATCATTAGTATTTTAAACAAATCAAAATATTTCATGGCAGGATGATCCTACATACATAAAAGATATATCGGAGCATACAGCATGACTACTGAAACCAGTTGGAATAGGCGAGGCACACAAACGAACAGAATCACTTCAATCAATCTTATGTAGACCAAAAGACAAATGAAGAAAAACCAAATATCATCTACAAAATAAATTGCTCAGACTGTGAAAAACACTACATAGGACAAAGTGGACGGCCTCTTCAGATTTGTTAACGTGAACACCAAAAAGCAAACGCCACGACAACGCTTCGCTTATATCAATACAAATCGACAATTATGGACACACATTCAATTGGAAGAATATGGAAATACTGGGTAAGGGGAGGACAAAGAGCACTAGAAAATTTTTAGAAGCCTGGCACTCAGGTCAATCAGAAATCAACAAACACATCAACATTAACCCAATTTATCAGCCAATCAGAAAAATCATAGGCGACATACGATCAAAAACAGATCAAAAGGGGAATACAATCGAAACGAAGGTGCAAACAGCAACAGATATAAGGTCAACAACAACCAATCAAGATTGAGGTTAGCAAAACAAGCTACGGGTCAAACGTGGAGAAATTCGAATACTTCAATTCTATCTAAAGTTTGTGCTGATGATGTTGTTTGTTCAGAAGAACAATGAAAGCTCCATAACCAAAACACCCAGCTCGGAGAACCAAACACCACCATCACAATCATCCACCTGAGCTACAAATTTTCTCCACCATCTATAAATAATTGTTTCACTAGATACTTAGTTAGAAAAATAACTTATTCTATACTTGATTAAAGTGTGTACGTAATGTTGAGTTTAATGATTCAGATAAATATATAGATGAGTGGAAAAAATTTTATAGACCATAACAATAAAACACTTAAATTAGTTTGGTGGTTGAAATAATATTGTCCACACATTATACCAGACAACAGATACATTAGCTACATTCAATGGAGCTGTTTAAAAATAACCCATTTGTCAAACATTTTCCAAATTAAAGGCAGATTTGATGGATTTCGGTCAACCTTTTGTAACTCGAAATTAAATGGATGACCATCATCTACAAATTAAAAGAACTGCTTGTCAGAAGTGATGAACTGTCTACTATGCCAATAACATTCTCGGACAGCGTATGTTGAAAGAGTAAGTGATTATTATCTTTCAAGGAAAAACACAAAGCGAACTATCACGTTCTAGAAAAAAATCAGGTTAAAATCGTATCTAGATTATATCACAAAAAAAAGAAAACGGGTTTCCATTATATAACGAAAAGTTCATAATCACATAGTTGAAACGCTTCACAGGCTACTTATTTGAAGATAAAGAGCTGCTACTCCTCGTGGACAGAGGCTGCCACCTACCATTCTTCAACCCACTTTGTCCTAGGCTCTCCTTTCCAGCTGTCCATTGTGCTTTTTATTCGATTCATGCCTGCTTCCTATCGACAGCGCAGCGTGTTTCTTGGTCTGCCTCTTTTCTTTTGGCCTTGAGAATCCCAATCCACAGCCTCCCTCGTGACGCAGTTAGGTGATTTCTGTAATGTGTCCTATCCATCGTACAACAGGTTGTAGTTGATAGTGTCTGGTCAACGGATCCAGAGTATCTTACGTAGACAACTGTTAATAAGCTCCTGTATCTTATGGATGATGGCTTTCTTAGTTCTCCAAGTTCCCGCTCCAGACCACAGAACCGTTTTGACCTTCGAATTGAAAATCCTAACCTTGATGTTGGCTGACTGACAGTTGTTTTGAGTTGCAGATGTTCTTCAATTGTAAAAGTTCTTCTCTTGATTTGCTAATCCCTGTCTCTACATCGGCATCAGATCCATTTGGTTTATCAATGAAGCTGCTCAGGTATGTAAAAGTCTCCACATCTTCGAAAGCTTTTCCGTCAAGTGTGATTTGGTTGGTGCTGGGATCTACTTTCTTTGGTATCTTGATGAGTTGCCCTTTTTCCAACCTCTCAGTACTTGTTCTTCGTCCCAAATCTTTCTGCACTGAGTGTGGAGAATCTTTCCATTTACTGCTAAATCTGCTTTAATGCCTTAGCTGGTATGTTGTCTCAGCTCGTTGCTTTGCCACTCTTGATTTTTCAGATGTTTTGCGTTAACATCAGTTGGGTGGTCTGTCGGTGCAGCTTCGGTGACCTGGGGATGCAGTGAGTCTGTTCTGTTCAAGAATTCTCCAAAGTGCTCTACCCACCTGTTTCGGAGTTCTTGGATGTTGGTGATTGTTTTCCCCTACTTGTTCTTAACTGGTCGTTCTGGTTTACTACATATTGCTGCTTGTTTCTTCGTTGTATCATATACTTGTTTCCTATTTCGTTCACGTCTTCCAAATATTTCCGTTCGTCAGCTCTAATGCTCCTTTTCACTTACTTGTTTGCTTCTGCATTTTAGCTTGTGCCATGACTTTCTCTACTCTTGTTCGGCTGTTATTGATGGATGTTTTATTGTTCTTCCTTTCTTCGATCTTATCCACAGTATCAACAGAGACCCATTTCTTATGATGATGATTCTTGTGACGCAGAACCTCAAAATATGCTGAAGTTAATGCCTCTTCGATCGCTTTTTCAGTTGTTCTCCACGGTAGTCTCCTCTTCGTTGGGTAGATCGTGAAAGGCTTGACACTTATTGATGAGAGCTGTCTTGAATTCGTCGGTGCCAGTATCTCGAAGAAAGGCTGTATTAAACCTTTGTAATGCTGCTGTTCACCCAGTTGTCCAGTGCTTTTACAGAATCGGTTTCAACTTGGTCAGCACCAGGTGGTGATCTGGAGGAATACCAGTTCCTTCTTTTGTCCTTATGTCTTCCATGGTCCCTCCGGATTTTTGATTGATGTGATCGATTCGGTTCTGTGTGGTATGGTCCGGTGGAAACCATGTAGCTTTGTGTGTGTGGGAAAGTATAGTGCTACTTATTACCACTTTGAAGAAGGCACATAGATTTGCGGATTGCTCACCGTTTTTGTTTCCCCCTGTTTCATATCGTTCCATGATATCTTCATATTTCGTGTTGTCCATTAAAACTTTGTTGTCATTAGGTATTATTTTAGGGAACAACCTTTAAGATCTTACAGAAGAGTGAGGTAAAGAAAAATCATACATCGTCCAGTTAACTCATTCGCATCCAAAAATAACATACCTGTGGCGCAAACATTTGATTGTATTTGGGATTTTGGGGGTTTGGTATTCATTCGATCTAAATAGGCACGAAGTCCAATGTCTCCTGAACGAATCCGTGCCACTTCTTGAATACGTATAGCCCCATCGACTGCTTGATCACTACATAAGTTGAGCATGACCGATGGAACGTGGGACTCATTAACCACTGGGAGACCAAGCAATGTTCTCTAAACAGATAAATATATTTAATATAATCACTACAATATTTCATTCCCAAACTTTTACAACTTACTTACACAAATTATTGCAGAAGGCATATATATATATATATATATATATATATATATATATATATATATATATATACATAGAAAGAGAGAGTTCTAAGGGTCACAGCTGTCCTAAAGGTTAATAACTACACGAAATTGAAGATGATCCTCGTAACTCAACATCGTACAAACAAGCTTCAACCGGTCATCTAAATGATACTCTTTCATGACTAGAAGCCATCAATCGTCACGAAATATGTAAAATGTCTGAGAAGTTTTTTAGTATTTCAAACATATGACTTCTCATCAATCAGCATAAAGCCCAACTGATGTGACTTGTCATCAACTAAATAGTTGTTGAGCCAAATTCTTTAATGTCATTTTATTACTCATAAGTAGCTCAAAAGGAATCAGATATTTTTGCCACTCTTACCAAAAAAACCGAACATAACAGAATTGAGGCAGTAGATATTTTGCAATCTGAATTATTCTTTCAGTTTCCAATAGTTCTATAACTCATTATTCATGTTTACGGCATATTATAGAAATCATTCATATGAGTCTATGTCAGTCGAAACCATGTTTTTGGATATTATTTTGAGAATGGAATATGCCATAAGCATAAATATTCTACTCAAGATTTGGATACGTTATAGGTTGAATACGGTCTGCTGAGGTATATACATAAAGTATGGAGTTAAATTAAATGTGAGTTTGATAAGAAATGGATATTCCATTTTACAACATATTATTTACCATACGTTCAGCAGCCAATCGCCATTTATTCTCCACTAGAAAAATGACATCTGAAAGTTGACGATTAATATCAACTCGTAGTCGTAAACGGGGATTTTGCTCTGCCTCTACTACTCTCCAAGCATCTGTCTGTGTCCGTGGAACTAGTTCAATCCATACATCTTCAGGAAGTAGGAATTCATGTGTAGGTGCTATAGTTTAATTTAAATAAAAAAATTACACTATTTTAGCTGAAATTATTTGTTAAATGCATTCTCGGCATAATCGAGTAGCTCAATACATTTTATAGATCTTTCCGGACAAAAACACCATTTAATTGATAAAGCAAGTACAGCGCGTACAACCAAAGTCGGAATCATTTCAGTTAGTGGATGCTCACAAACCAGGAAACTAATTTATTGTCATTCAGTCAATTACAACGTAGAACTTCGGACGTAAGTATATAACTTCAAACTGCCATACCACATTAGCATACAGAAGCGATTGTCAGTTCAAATCCCATAGTAGTAGAGGTAGTAAAAATACTAGCAGTAATCGGAGAGATTACGGTTCGAAGATATTAGTCAAGGAGTAAAATAAACTTAAAAAGATAAAAGTGATGAGGGATTCAGATGGTTAGGATTTGAGAGAACACAAAGAGTGGATGCGCCTGCTCCATTGCAAACGGTTTTAAGCCATGTCACTCAGGGTCTATAACTATCGATTACTAACATCTGGCGGACTCCAATTAGGTAGCCTACATCTGTCAACATGACTCAGTCCACTTGTCAATGACTTCATGGATTGTTGCCATGTTTTGTTCTGGCCGCCCTTAACTTTCTTCCAATCCACTCCTACACCACAAAACATAGCTCGTCGAGGCAGTCGGTGGTTAGACATGCATAACACATGGCCCAACCACCTCAACTGATGAAGTTTCAACACTTCATCTATTGATTTGCATTCCCTATTTAGTACTCGTTTTCTAACAACAGCATTGCTTACTCGTTAAACGAGCAATGCTTCGGATACACCTATGATAGAAAATTAGAAACCCACGAATATCCTCTACTCTTACCGGCCATGTTTCTGAGCCATAAAGTAAGACAAAACAAACTTCTGCGCAGTAGAATCGTCCTTTGGTTAGCGAGCGGATACCTTGCCTAAGCCACAAGTGACGCAAGTTGACTAATGCCGATAGAGCCTTCTGTATGCGTGCTGAGATTTCTTCAGTCACCAGGACATAAGCACAGATGAGACTACCGAGATAAGTGAAGCCGTCAACACGCTCAACCGTTTCACTACCTATTACTAGTTAAAGTGCCGATGAAATCCAATCTTGAAGCAACATTTTGAGTTTTGAGGGGGAGAACAGCATCACAGATTCTACCTAACATCTCAGTCAACCTTACTGCTAAAACTGGAGCACCAACCTTAAAAGCTCAGAAGTCATCCTATCAGAGCCCGCCGTTTTCATACCCCTTAGATTGTCTATAGCTTAACTATTCTATTATTAAGTAGAACCCCAACAGGTTTCCTTGCGATATTTTTCCTACGTCCGGTAAGTCTCAAACAAATACGCGCTCGTACTAGACCATGATCTGAATCCAAACATGTGCACCAGAATGAGCGACAGTCCTCGATTGAACCCCTCCATCGGTGGCTGATGGCAATGTTGGGTCCAACGTTGGCACGACTTTGGGGGTCGCCATGTAAAAATATGTTTTTCCTTGTACTTTAGCAGTTAGTTTGGTAGAAATAAGCGGTTATCTGAGCATGGCTGCAGCAGACGGTCGCTATTTTCTGTTCTCTGAGCCGCGATACTATAAGATCCACCCAGGTATCTTTCCTTTTCACCGAGACTACCTACTTGAACGTTAAATTCACCAGCCATTATTACTATATCAGAGTGCTTAACATTTTGGAAAAGTCTAAAGAGGTTTCTATAAAACTTATCTTTTGTGTCGTCTGAACTGCAGTCAGTGGGAGTGTAGGCAGAGACAACAAACAGGCAACGGTGTGTGTACCTATCTTTCCGAGTCCTTACTGTCCTGTTTAGTCGGACTGCGCGCAAGCGAATATCTACTGGGATCCAGTCTAGCAGAGCTAGTTTTGCCCTACGACTTAATACTATACCTACACCAGCGAGGCCACCGGAAGCAGTAGCAGCGGAGCAATGGTCCTTTATTTTGACAAGATGAGCTAAAATAAATCACTGTAATCGGATCGTGTATGCGCGTTTCGGAGACACAGCATACATCGATAACGCGTGATTCCTATCCAAGGAAGCCTGTCGCTCTATTCGACACTATGTCCGTACATTAAAAGCCCCAACATGTAGTTTAGAACAGTGTTCAAGGAGACCAGCCATAACGTTTCGTGAACTCGAATCGTTCGCATTACCGGTGCGGGTTAATAAAGGAATGAGAGAAGGGTTAGTCGTGGAGATAAGAGAGATGTTAGGGGTGTAGGAAGAATTTGACTGTGACTAAACTGATGTCGTGTGCTATTGCGGGTATACGGGTGGATGTCACTTCTTGGCTGCCAACCACGTGAAAGAATTAACCAAATTTATCAAATGTTTATATTATATGTTTCATACATTCAAAAGCCGTATTCAACAACCGTAGAGCAACACAGAGAAGATTGCTTAGCTAATTGATTTTGAATTCTATGGAATCTGAATGGGCTGGAAAAATGCAATTTACACAGATTGCACCTACAAGTAATTACGTCCGGTCATCTCGGTAATTTTTATAACTGATACAGGGAATCTGTGGAGCTCTGAGTTTCTGATCCCTCTTGTCTGAAGGGACGCAGAATCGCTGAAATGATACTTGATGGTCATGTTGCTGTACAATCAGTAGTAAAACTTTGTATTGGAGCCAAATATTTACTGCTTCTGCTCATGCCACTCTTAAACAACCCACTTTGCAAGATGTGGCTTTTTCATGACATAATCAGTTAACCAAAGTCATAACTATGGTTCGGAGTACATCCAGAACTAGAAATACGTAAAAAGAGAAATGTTAACCTTTCCGAGTCCCATCATTTAGGGTTTTGAACTACTACTGTGTTGTCACTGGGATTGAATATGAAATGTAGTTAGAACAAAGAACTTGAAGATAACAAAAAACTAGGAATAAGGGTACCGTTATAATCTATTTTATTGATTACAAGCGTGTTAAATTAAAAATCTTATGCATGTATATGTACGAAATACCAACGTACCAGAGATGTTATTCAACTGTTTCAAAGCAGGACAAACAGGAGTACGTAACAAAAAACGTCGCCCATTGTGTTTGATCACAGTGGTACTAAAATAAAGAAACATATGACATGCAAAAAAATATTATATATATATTGAATAAACTTAAATATTTACGACATTCAAAAGGATTATTACTTAAATTAAAAATTCAAACTTATGAACAACTGCTTGAGGTATACAATATAAATACTAGAGTACGCGATGTTTTACGTAATTGAAGAAAATCAATCACTCATAAACTTAGAAATGCATTCATTTATTCAGAGCATTCGAACAACAAGACTACATCGCCTTTATAATAAGTCGGCTGAAGTAAGTACGCTTTAAAAATTCAGTCAGAAATAAGAAAAAAATAGGAATATAAGAAAAAAAAGAAGGCGAAGATTGTTCTCAGTTTGTATGGATTCAAGTAACATCTTACCGTAGCTTCAAGCTATTAGAAGAATCCTCACACAGAAATTTAGCAAGATCTATTTGTTGATAAGCATAACCTGGATGGTTTAAGAAAAATGTAATCTTTTGTTACCCTTAAAACGAAGTTTGTTAGCCATTATGTAATAGCAGTATTACTGAGCTCTAAATTATAAATGGATTAGACATAAGTCTTATAAACTTCAGACAAATACACCGGTTAACATAACAAGAATATTACTCTTAGAAGTACTACTAGGAGTGACCAATGAAACTATCTGTTTTTACCACAGACGATGTGCTTATATGGTGATCCAGGACGAGTATCGAAATGTTGTGCTCTAATAATTACTTGATCACTATCTCGAAAATATCCTAATGTCTGTATTCATAGGAATACCATCTATGTGAATTTTGTGCTTGAATAGATAGATGTAAACGTGTTTACACAACCCGAATCTGACATCTGAATCAAGTTAAACTTGGTTGGTTGATATGTAGTTAATAATCACAGAAAAGTATCAGTAAGAAGTCATCTAAAAACATTAAATTGATAGATTTTGTAAAAACAATATATATTAATTAATCACTTAAATTCAGACAGAATATTTTACTCAATAGATTATTGGTTAAATAATTGTGTGACGTTATATCACATCATGGATAAAAAATAAGCGAAATAAGTTTCAAATGAATGTAAACACATTATTCTTTTTTTAAAGACAAAATGGTAACAAAATTACACACACCCACAATGAACTAGTTCGTTTAATTTCTCGCCCAATCGGTGATCCAATGCTAAAATGACGTAACGTAAGAAAAAAAAATCGAAAACAGAAATGTAAGTACAAATGATGTTATATAATAAATACGGACAGTCGGAAGGCAAAAGGGCTGCTTTCTTATGCTAATAAAATTATCTATTTGTAATATTCTGATGAGCAGTGAACCGAATTCATGTTGTTTCGTGATTCAATGTAAGTCTAATCAAGGAAGAAATACAAAAACCACTTTAAGTTAACAAGTTTAAATAGCACGAAAGAACAAAACCAAATGTATAGTGCAATAAAAAAGAAAACACAGTTTTAATCATGTTAAGTTCAAGTCATTTCGATTCTGTGTGAGACATACCTATACTTATTTCAGTGTATGCTAGTGTATGTGTGGTTTTAATTAATGTGGTTACTTGAATAAACCATCCGTTTTGTTAGAGGCATAGTGGAATTTAAAAATATGTGAAATGCTTCAGTTACTTACATTTTTCAATAGTTGGAGAAACCTTCTGAAGTGATTTGATACTCTTGTAAGCAATTTGATGGTATTTGAAAATACCACGTACTATATATACTATTGCTAGTTTGATTTGAAAATCTTTGAGTCAAGAGGTTTTACACGAGTCAGTGTGATCTGAGAAACTACTTATCACTTTCGAAAACTTTACAAGAAAGACCTTGTTTCTAATGATGAAAAATGAGTAATTCAGTTTCTTTATGACTATTGTTATACGACCATTATAGGCATTGTTAATTATTATTGCGCTGTCTTTGCAGCTTTGTGTAGATCACAACCTGTTGTACAGTACAGTCATTGTTAATGCACAACTTGCAACCTGCCCACTGGAACTCAATCCTGCATTCAGATCGATCGTAGTATTACGAGTTACCGCAGGTGTACTTATGTAAAGAATTAATGCCCCTTTGGAAATACTTATCTGGATTATGCGCATGCACCTGATTGCATCGATCTTGCCTTATGTCTCGATGGCTAGCAAATTCATTATCTCAAACATATTGATATCAGACAGTCGACTACAACTTCTTTTGCAACTCCACGCTATCGATCCATTGGAAAGTAAAGATAAGGACTGGGTGCATTTGTATGATTCCCTTTAGAATGGAAAGCGAATTCGCTCTCAGCTTCAAAAAAACGTACCGTCTTACAAGCATTGAGCTTTTATAGACTTTTCCAGGTACGTTGGTTTGCTCTAGAGAATCACAAATTTGATGATAAACGTAGATTCTTGCTGTAGGGAAACCAGGAGAAATTTGTGTAAGGACCGAGAAACTTGGTAAGTGGAGTTCGCTAGTACGTCAGATGCAGAAGCGGAATCCGGTAAACGCTATAAATTTTTTGATTTCGTCCGAGTCACCAGCGTAGCAGAAAGAAGTATCGTGAATGAAACAAGCTGTGCGGCAGCGGAGTTGCTAATCTAATTAATAGTTGTATGAACTTAAACAAAACTTGATAACTAATAATTAATATGTTATAACTAGCGAATTCAGTGAGTGATGAATGACTGATAACTCCATCTTCTCTTCGCTTAGCCACTGTTAGACTGAATTAGAAGCCTGATTCTGGAGTGAGTAATTTGTGAGAGCTGTAAAACGGCAGTAAATGTGCGTGAATCTAGCTTTATTATTAGTACAAAGCGTAAAAACTTTGTAAGCGTAAACAAATCAACATGGATATTAAAAACTAAGATCTGAATTCGTAGGTCAAAGACCCACAAATAAGGAGACCGGTGGTGGTTGCGTCAAGTTGCAAACTATCCAAAATTTGCGTTGGATGAATTTCAGGAAAAAATAAATATTAAGGCTGTTAAGACAAATAATGCAACTAAAACACTGAACCTAATTTTTATGAAGAATAATTGAATTTATCAGTCAGTCAGTCAAAGTAGTGCATGGCAAGGATGTGTGTTGACCCAAGCTGGCACAACGAGATGAAAGCAGCAAGAAAATTTGGATTATAAATCAAAATAATATAGTGACAATAGCAATCAAAAAGACTGACTTTAAAATTGGAATCCAATGATTAGTGTAAATTTCTGACTAGACATTGCGTAATATGGTCTTAACCATTCACAATGGAACACATCTATTGTTCCTGTCACATTCTCGATACTAGACATGGTTTTTATTTTGTCGTATTTATCGTAACAATGGGGATTTTTTATTTGCCTTCTTTTAAAGTATGATGGAATGTTGCTCGTTTGGTTGATTCGTAATTTCTTTCAGTTTAGTAACTTGAAACAAAAATCTAACAGGTGCATTCTGTCGTGTTATTTGTAGTTCATGAGCCTCTGAGTAACTTTTAGTCAATAATGATAAGCAAAATGATGATATTTCTATTTATCTCGGTTCGATGATTTGTTTTAAAATCATTAGATTGTCACACACTTTTAAGAAGAGTAGAGCTACTATATTTCTCACTTACTAGGTCAAGAAGTTAGTTACTCATTACCGTACACAAAGAAGTAAACAACAAGCTTTTCCATGACTGTATGATTGGAATGCAAAACCGTTTGTGTGCCAAAGGTTAGCTAATACTGCCTGCCATGAGGAACATTTAATAGGCAAACTAACGTAGAGTATCCAGTTTGTTTGAGTCCGGAGGAATATTCAGGCATGAAAAGTACACAAACGCACGCTACAAATTTAATACTTACGTTTCTTAATGCGTGTACGAAGCACAGAATAATTGACAATTGCATATACTTCTCGAACATGTTGTGGGACTTCCTCAGGAAATTTAGTGTAACGACGAACTTTATGCCAGGTTTGTTGATAAAAGAAACGAACCTGTTCACGAGTTCGACCACCACAAGGTGTATTTAAATCAGAATTACTGGTGGTACAGGGTGTGTTCACTCCGACATTAGGTTGAGAAATGTTGCTTGGGCATGGAGCGCTTACATTAGATGGGATGAGGGCAGATGATAAGGCGTTTGAAGAGACTGAATTGTTTGCAGAGTGTACATTGTTTAAAGTTAGATCAATATTGCTACTAGATGACGCAGTTTGTTGATCAATCGATGTACGGTGTCCACGGGACCGAATAAAACGTGTAATTTCATTGAAGTTACGTCCATACTGAGAAATGTCAATAAACAAATAGAAGGAAATATTTCCACTCAATACTTAAAGTAAACAAAAATACTAACTAGTTGCAAAAAGAACCATAGTAAAGCAAATGAAAAATAGGGAAAGAAGAAAAGGAACTATATCAATCAACGTACCAATCTCACAGCTTGAAAAAATAAACGTCTATCGTCTGGTGACCAAGTTCCGCGTAATAATCTCCGTGCATTTTCTAAATGTACAAAGTATTAGGTAATTACTCAAAAACTAACCGGAACGACTTTTATGTGCTTTATCTTCTACGGAAGCCTTTACATCATCACATAATGTTTGTCCACTTGTTGCAGACACACTATAAAAGTTATTTATATTGCAACTAGTCTCAGAAGATTCGTATATTCCAGTAGAAATCAACTGATTTTGTGTGGTTCCTAATGGATTTCCACCTGGAGAGCAAAGTACACGAGCATGATGTCGCGCTTTTACGATTGCTGCGATATTTGAGGCTTCCATTACTGCACCACGTGTCTTCATACCGTTATGGGAATAACCATTATCTAAGAGCAGCTTGTTCACAGTGAACTAATATTCCATTTAAACATTTCGTTGAGGCCATCTGAAGTATTGTTTACAAGAGATAATAATAAAATTCAATTTTTACATTTATGAACATATATCACTGAATCAATGTAATATAAGTTTAACAGTAAGCGCAAGAGTAAAACGCGATTATTCCACAAGAAAATAAGCATGAGGAACTGTTTAAAAGGTAACTAGGCAGAAGTATTCAGAATAAGTAAATTATAGTAAATACATGCAATACCAAGTAGTGTAAAATAAAATTATGAAAATGGGTTGGATACTTGGAAGTGTACAGTAGTACAGTAATTACCTGGTGTGGTAACAGCTGAAAAAAGCATCATTCATTTATCCAATAATGCTATTTGTAGCATGAATACAGATTTTCGGACGGGTTCGAAAAATAATCAATCAACCACGTTTTACAACACAAGCTGTAAATATGGAAGCGATTAGTAATTAAATAGTTATATTTAAATACAGCATCTCTGACAGCCTTATACAGCCTGAAAATTTAGAGCCATTTCTGAGTAAAATGATAAATGGATTATATACAAATGTACGAAATCTAAAAGATGTTTAAGAAATGTGCCGATGTATCATCCATTTACTAAAATGTCTAAAAGTCATTTGTAAGTATATTTATAACGTCCCGACCGTAGCTGTTACCTTATCGTGGTAGTCAGGCTTGCCTATCGTGATGATCCGACCGAGCTATATTGGCTGGAACATATGTTCCTGAAGGTTCTACCATGCCAGGCAGGTCCATTGGAGAACTAGACTAAAAGCAGCAACTCAAGGTCTGAGGGCGAAGTCGTACTGCTGACTGCAGAGGGGTATGACAGCAGTAAGGCGCTTCGCTCAGACAACCAGCATCTGCAGTGATGCTGCCTTCTCACAAGGAAGGAAGGGTTAGAAACGGTTGACCCTAAAAATGTCGCACCTCACCGTACCTCACGGATTTCCGTCTCCGTAGGTAAGGGCTTTAAAAAGAGCGGAGTTAGTATTCAAAAAACCTCATAAAAAGGCCGTGCGTGACCGGCCTCAAGCAGTTGTCCGTTGGGCTCTGCGGTCACGCTCCCAGGTCGTTAAGACCAACAATAATCTACCTTCCTTTTCAGGTTCCTCAAAGAAAACCCTTCCACGATGTGGGCAACCGGGAAGTAACATCCGCCCTCATACCCACAACAGCACACGAGACCACACTGGTCACAATTAAATCCTTCTTCATCCCCTTTATCTTCACGACTAACTCTTCTCACATTCATTTATCAACACGCATCTCAGCTGCGAACAATTCGATTTCCCAAAATGTTATTCCTGGTCTCCTGAAACCGAGTTCTAAACTCCTTGTTGGAGCATTTAATGTACGGACATTGAAAGATGGTTTATTCATTGCCTCTTTGTACTTCGTATTTCGAAATGCCAAACTCCAAACTTTAGCCATAGACATGAAAAGCACTCAGAATTACATGCAGTTTGTACTGTTAGAGATTCAGTAACAAACGCTGTGTCCAATATCATTTATATGACGGAAGTTTTTCATTGAGCCAATTTTTACTTCTTATGTTTATAAATGTTAAAAGAAGATTTATGTCTAACTTATGTATACAGAGGCTGCATATTATTCGAGTTACTTGGACCTTACTTTAAAATGCTTGTATATTACATATGATTCTTTGTTTCTCCCTACTCTTATTTCCTGGGCTTTTGGGGAAATATTTTTGTGTGTTGTGGAGAGTGCTGGGGGCAAGTAGTATAGTACGTGATGAGTCTTAATGCCACTATGAATAAGATTGTGCATAGACATGTAAGATCATGGAAGCAACGAAAGAAGTATTAACTTAACAAATATTAACAAACCACTCTATTCAACTCTTTCTCACTTTATATCTGCTGAAAGAGCGGAAGACAGATACACTTGAATCCACACAAGCAAACATAAGTATATGAGGTGTAAAAAACCGTATTTAGCACATGTAATGTGCAGTGAACAAGTTGTAAGGGCCAACTTAGTCGAAAAGATGCTAATGAACCTGCAACTAATTCACTGTTACGCAGATTTTCACATTTCATTCGATGTTATACGACTCTTTTTGTGTACTATATATATATATATATATATATATATATATATATATATATATATATATATATATACGAGGAGCTTGTTAAAATATTGCTTGCCGGGAACTCCATACGGGGCTGAACACATTAGAGAATAAACCCATTATTATTATTATTATATCTACGTGTGTTCTATCCTCTCTTGTCTTTCAACGCTATCCCGTTTGTGATTTCTCAAGAGCATTTTAAACAGATCTATAACCTATACGCTACATACATTACAATTGCGTTTTTGCAGCCTTTCAAGTCTCCATGAATTTACTTCTGTTTATGAAGACTGTGAATTTATAATAATAATATGAGTTGGTGAAACAAGTAAGATATCTCGGTTCTAATTCTCAATTAAGTTATGTTGTTCACTCCTAAACCCAAAGTCTTTGAACTAACGTGTAAATTTGACATGAAAACATCAACGTATCAAGTCAACATTTGTTTCACCTTACTATAGCCAACATGATGCTATCTGGCCAGCGGCAGCAAAAACATTACCAGGTCAGATCAGTCAGTTGAAATGTGGAGAATAATAAAGAGAAGGGGCTAATGCAAAGTAGAAGACGAATATTGAGGAAATAAACAGACCGATAAGTTAACAAGCTGATATTTCAGATATTGTGAGACGACCAAAGTGTAACGATATAAAAGGAAATAGTGATGATAATAAGCATTATAGAATAAGTGATACGAAGAAATGATAGGAGTAACAAGTTTCGACGGATGCACAGCTGGTTAGGCGGGAGACGATAATTTCTATTTTAAGTAAAAGTATAAATAATAATTTGCTTTGGACGATAAACCTACATTAATCTTAATTTGGTTGAATTATCGACCTTGAGGTGTGCCGACTCTTGATCTGACGCCACACTAATATCCAATATCCAATATATTTTTCACGAGCTGGTGTAAACCAATTTGATTTCTTCGCGCTCGATTCTTGTTCTTTCAGTACGGTTCCAGGTGTTCGGTAATGTCCAATGGATGGAGGTCTAGCCACTCGACTGTTTAATTCTAGTCAGTTGGCAGTTGGTTGTGAGTTTGTATGTCTCGGGATTTGAATGAAACGTTTGTTTCAGGGCAGTAGGGTTTCTGGATACTAGCAGCCGTCACATTACCAAACCGGAGATCAGTTAGTTGCAATGTGGAGAGTAATAAGGGTAAATTAAAATGATAATATGAGTAAAATTTCAGAACTGAGTAGTACATATGTGTATTTAGTTTATTAATTGGTAGTGAAGATTGTGAGAGAGGACCGAAGTGTAAGCAAGGGAGAGGAATGGGTGAGATAGATTAATTAAGTGATCTGAGGAGATGGCAATGGTAACAACTACCAGGTCTCAAGATATGCATCAGGCACAGCTTGTCCAAGAGGGAGATGATAGTCCGCATGTGAGTACGTGATTATCAAGTCTCTTCTTAAAGCAGTCCACTGAGGGGGCTGTAACTACCTCGGCTGGGAGAGCGTTCCAAGTTGCGACGACTCGCAGTGAGAAAAAGTGTGCACGAATCTGAGTGTTTGCTCTTTGATGTGCAATCTTTCGAGGATTGCCTCGAAGGGAGTGGTGGTGATGCATCGGTAAGATGCTCACATTGGGATGGTTTGGCGTGTTTAATATGGTGTACGCCATAATCAGGTCACCTCTGATTCCCCTGTAGCTCAGTGGGAATAATCCCAAGAGCTGGAGTCTATCGTCGTAGGGTTTATTTTTCAACCCTATCATCCATTTGGTTGCTCGTCTCTGCACTCGATCCAAGAGATTAATGTCTCTTTTAAGCAGAGGGGGTGCGATGACGTTGTGAACCTCCAAGTGTGGGCGCGCGTACGTCCTAAACAGGGTTAAAAATAATTTCGGGGTGATAGCACCAAGCTGTCTTCGCATAAAGTGAAGAGTCGCATTTGCCTTGGCTGCATCCCCTACATAGTTCGGACTCGTGTGGAGGCTTTCTGTGGTTATTAAACCAAGATCGCGCTCTGAGGAGACATTAGGGAGCGGACTTCCATTGAGGGTGTAGGTGGTTTGCGTCATATGAGGCAGGAAATGCATGACGTGGCACTTCGGTTAGTTGAGTTTTAAACCGTTTTTCACTGCCCATTTCTCAATGGATGTAAGGTCCTTTTGAAGCTCAGTCGCATCCTCTTTGCTTCTAATGGACCTCCAGATCTTCGCATCGTCTGCGTAGATCAGTGCCGGTAAGCTAACTGAGCTTAGAAGGTCGTTAATGAATATCAGGAAGAGGAGTGTGCCTAGGATGGTCCCCTGTGAAACTCCTGAAGTGGATACTCTCCAACTCGCGTGCACCCTGTTTATCTTGGTGCGAAACTTTCTATTCTCAAGGTAGTTTCTGAGCCAAGATACGAGTGGGTCAGTGAAGCCCATTTCCACAACCTTTTCGATTAGGCGTGCGTGGGGCACTGTGTCAAAGGCTTTTGCGAAGTCGAGAAATACTACGTGCACTGGTATTTTACGGTCCAAGCAGGATGTCCAACTGTCCCATGCGATGAGAAGATTAGATGCAAACGACCTGCCTTTCCGAAACCCGTGTTAAGCTTCATGGAGTATTTTATTCTTATCCATGTACTCCCTCATTTGTTCGTCCACTAGCCCTTCCATAACCTTTGATAATATAGGTAGTAGTGCGACTGGTCTGTAACAGGCTGGGTCCTTTCTATCTCCTCCTTTGAAGATTGGAGAGAGAGTAGCTTGTTTCCATTCCGCTGGGAATTGGTGTGACTCCAGTGAATGCCTGAACAGGTTGCATAACGGTGAACAGAGGGCTTCAGCGCACTGTTGCAAGACTATAGGGCGGATGTTGTCACAACCTGGTGACTTTAC